GAGACATTGTCAGCTTCATTGCACTTGGGTTGAGAAAATCTTTCCAGGGTCTGTTGGCTTAGCATATCCACAGGTCCAGACACGTGATGCAAAGCCTGGCTAGGAGAGTTGTCCACCTGTTGTGCTTTCCATCCTCTGATGAGGCACTCGGCATCCCCTGCTGACCTGGTCCACACGTGAACTGATGCATGCTGCCACCTTGTCCAGCATGGCCCAACCCCAGCCCTGGTTCACAGACTTACTAGTGGGATCTGCAGCGTAGCAAAGAAGTGCCCACAGTTTCCCTCCCAGGCCTGCTCCCAACCCTGGATCTTGTCACTTGCCAGGGACTACTCACTGTGGTCCAGCCTGATAACAATTCACGTGCAGTCCCAGCACTTGCCAACAGGTGCTTTGGCCTAGCCCGGCTGGCCTGCACTCATTTTGGTTCTCTTGCATGCCAGTGGGTGCTACAGTCCTGCCCAGACTGGTTCCCTTCCAGTCCCAGTTCTCATGCTCACTAGTGAAAACGGCAGCCTACCAGAGGAGTCCTTGAAGATTGGCTACCTAGCCTGTTCCCAGCCCTGAGTCTTGAACCTGCTGGCAGGTGCTGCATCCCAGTCTTGTATAGCTTGTTTTGAGTCTTGGCATTTGCTAGCAGGGGCTGCAGCTTGGTTCAGCACAGCCCACTCCCAGTCTCAGGTCTTGCCAGTGGGTGCATTAGCCTAGCCCAGCCTGGCCCACTCTTAGCCCTGGCCCTCATGTGAACTTGTGGGTGTTGCAGCCCAATCCAACCTGTGCTGCACCTTTTCCTGGCTCTTGCTTGTGCCCATGTGTGCTGTGCCCTGGCCCAGCCCAGTTCGCTCCCAGACCCGTTCCTTGTTAATGGGTACTGCAGCCTGGCCTGGTTTGGCCTATCCCTAGCCCCTGGTCTCATGCTCATTAGCATGAGTGGCAGTCTATTAGGTGAGTTCCCCAGGTTGCCCTACCAGAACTGTTCCCAGCCTTGGATCTCGTGTTTGCCTGTGGCCCAGCCCGATCAGCCTGCAGCTGTTCTGGCTCTTGCTGGAGGGTTCTACAGCCTAGCTGAGCCTGGTTCACCCCCAGAAGCCGCACTTAAGTGAATTTGAGTTGGTGTCATCTGTTTGTGTCCATTCGGGCTCTTGTGAGCGCTAGCAGATACTTAGACCTAGCCTTATCTGGCTGCCCTCACACCCAGCCCACATGCATACTAATGGGTGCTACTGTCTTGCCCAGCCCAGCCGAGCCCAGCATAGTCTACCCTCAACCCTGGTTTGCTTGCTCCCAGCCCTGAATCTCATCTGTGCCATTGGCCCTGCTTGGTATGGTCTGCCCTGGCCTTTGCCTGTGCTGGTGGATGCTGTGGCCTGGCCCAACCTGGCCTCCTCCCAACTTCAGGCTCCCATGAAGTGTTGATGTGTTCTGTGGTCCAGTTTGGCTCGGCATGTCACCACCCCCAGCTCATGTACAGCTCATGTGCTGCATTCCCACAGAGGCAAGCTTACAAGTCTCCGGCACAATCTGCCTCAAGATCTGATTTTCTTGTGTTCTGGTGGGTCCTGTGGCCCAGTCTGATGTGGACTGTGGCAGGTGATGCTGCAGTCTAGCTCAGCCAGGTGCAACCTCCAGCTCCAACTTCCATGTGTACTGGTGGGTGGTAGGCGATGCTGCTTAGCCAAAAGCTAGGTCTCCTGTGTGGGCAGGTACCTTGGCCTGACCTCTGCATGCCCTCCACTTCCGTGTCTCTAAGCCACTCTGTCTCAGCATCCTTGCCTACCTGTGAGCACAGCGGCCTGGTTCGTGGAAGCTCCCAGAAGTCACCCTCATGTTTCCAGCATGCCCTCAGGGAGCCACCACTCCATCATATCCCTTGGCACTCTTCCCTGGACATTCTGTAGCCCCCACACTGCATGGCGACCTGCAGTGTGCCTGGGGACCAGGGCACACTCACATTTCCTGCCTTCTGTAGCTCTGTGCCCAGAATTTCCAGCATGTTTTAGAGAAAATAGAATAGACAACTAGACTAGTATAGTTAACACAGATTAGGCATTAATCAGATCCAGAATACATGCCAGCTCTTGGGTGTTTTTCTTGCCTAGGTACAAAGCAAACTAGACAGTTACCTACAGCTGGTGTTCATTTTGTTTTATTTAAAGTGTCTGTGTGTGTGTGTATGTGTTAGATGATGTTTACATAGTCAATCAGCGTGGGAAGCATATGGGGTTAGGGAGAAGCGGGTGTGATCGTTGTTTCCAAGCTTTCTATTTCTTGTTCCCATTTCTGGGGGAGGGAAGAGATAAGGGCATAGGCCGTACCCAGCCTCCCCACCCTCCCAGTACCCGAGGATGGGGAAAGGCCACCCGATATCAACCCAGGGTCACAATGGTGCATGTTCCGAATGGTCTGCTCAGGTGGATGCGATAGTTTCCAAATGCTGTGCATCTCACCGATCTATGGATGAGGAACCCCTTCCAGTGTGCATTGGTTGACACCATCGACTTTATAGTCTCCAATCACCCAGATATTTGCTGTCATTGTTTGGCTGTGATAGTTGTCCGTATGTTTTGTTCTCCATTCTCTGCTATGGCACCAGATGCCCTCTGCAGGCCCCAGTGAGCTGCCATGTCCTCCATGTGCACCATGGTCTGCCGTCCAGCACTCCATCCTCTATACTATGGAGGACCAGTTCTCCTAGGTGGGCTCATGGTCCTGGGCCATGCGACCCAGGCCCTGCTGGACTCACACCTGTGGGCTCATAGACCCAACACCCACTGTGTAGGAGGGTTGTAGGACCTATGCCATGAGATTTAGGGCATCTGGTATGCTTTACATGTTTTTAAAATTAAATTTATTTTTATTTAAAAGGAAGATTTTGCAGAGAGAGGAGAGCTAATAGGTAGAGAGAGATCTTCCATGTACTGGTTCACTCTCTAAGCAGCCGCAATGGCCAGATCTGAGCTAATGTGAAGCTGGCAGCCAGGAGCTGCTTCTGGTTTTCCCACCTCCCAAGCATGTTGCTTTCCTAGGCCACAAGCAGGGAGCTGGATGGGAAGTATACCAATTGGGATATGAACCAGTGCCCATATGGGGTGCCAGTGCACAGGGTGGAGGATTAGCGTGATACACAACCACCTTGGCCTCATTGCACCTTCTTTGTAATAGTATTAACATTGGAAGTAAGATTTCTTATCCATTATCTCTTTGGGGGTAGACGTTTGGCACAGTGGGTAAGTCACTGCTTGGGACACCAGTCGAGTGCCTGGTTCTAGCCTGGTTCCACTATGCACGCCCAGGTGCCAATTGCAGTGCTTGGGCCCTACCACCTATATGAGAGACCAGAGTGGAGTTCTAGGCTGTTGGCTTCGGTTTGGTCCCCGCTGCTGTGGGCATTTGAGGGATGAATCAGCAGATGGAAGATCTCTGTCCTTTTGTCTCAGTTTCTCTGCTTCCAACTACATTGAAAATAAAGTGAATTTTTTTTTTCCTTAAATAAAGGACACTGTTGGGACACCTGCATCCCATATAGGAGTCACCGGGTTCAAGTCCAGGCTCTACTTCTAATCCTACTTACTGTAAAGAGAATGACGAAGTGAGAGCAGCTGAAAGCCATCACGTGGTAACAGATCAGTTAAGCAGAATGGAGTCAGAAGTGTTGGGACATAAAATTATGAGCTGTTTGTTTAGAAGCTCTCAGAACTTTAGACAAGGCCTTAAATTCCTTACTATTTATTTGTGTCATCATTTACCTTAGCTCTGCGTTCTGTTTTCTTCCATGCTGCTAATTTTTGCTCCAGTTATATCCTCTTGTTCCTAAAACTTCAGTGTATTTATTTGTTCACCACGTTCTTGTATGTGTTTTTATACCATGAACTTAATTTTATCTTGTATGTCCTGGTTAGTAGACTGAGTCAGCCTATTATTTGTGCTGCATTTCTGGGACAGCTGTGTCGTGTTCATGGCATACTTTAAAAAAATATATAATATATTATTTGTTTGAAAAGCAGAGTTGAAGAGAAGTGGGCAGAAGGAATAGGAAGAAGGGACCAAGGGAGGGAAAGAGCATGAGCTGCTGGCTCACTCCCCAAATGGCTGCAATGGCTGGAACTGGGGTGTTCTGCAGCCAGGATTCTCCCTTGGGCCTCCCGTGTGAGTGCAGGGACCCCTAGCACTTGGGTCATCCACCACTGCTTTGCTTGGCAGATGGGTCTTGTCCTAGCACCCATATGCTGCCAGCGACGGCTTGACCTACTCTGCCACACTGCCTGCCCAGTGTTCACTGCCTGTGTGTTCCACCCCCTCTTCATGCAGGGAAGTTTGCGTCTCCACTCAGAGTGCAAGATGTCTCTTTTTTAGGTGGTGTAGGTGCCATTGTCACAATCAGCAGGCCCCTTTCAGGTGGACCTTGCTGCCCTTAGCCATCCACACAGCCTTCAGAGCTCTGGTTAGTGTCTGTCCTCTCTTGGTTCCTCCTGCATGCGGCTGGGTGGGTTTCTTGTCTGTTATTTGTATGTACCTCTGTTGCAGTAGTCATTTTGAGATTGTTTGCTTGATAGGATGGTAGCTCTTGGAAGGTGGAGTCATTTGTATTTCATTGTTTTTCCCACAGTGTTTAGCTTACTTAGCACAAGTGTATTTAATAAATACTTGTTTGATGCATGTAAATAAGCTAATGGTGTTTAGCTTTATTTTCTTAAGTGAAACTTACTGGTTGCATTACATTTATTTTCTGCAGTGAACAGTTAACTGTTTCCGTGCCTGATGTTGTGCATATCTATTCCTGAGTTGTTCATGCTCTGACTGGCACCCTGCTTCCCCGCATACAGGATTCCTGTGGCCGCTGACTATTGGGCTGCAAGAGGCAGTTAGGGACAGGCTGCGCCCTGGGGTTGTCCTGGCCCTGGGCAAATTGAAAACTGTCTTGCAGATCTTTGTTCCGGACAGGCAAGGGGTGCTTGGTGGTTTCAAAGTGGTGTAAGGAGTATTTCTGATGTCTCTGCTAGTTGGTGTGGATGACTACAGCTCAGAGTCTGATGTGATTATTGTACCTTCAGCCCTGGACTTTGTCTCACAAGATGAAATGTTGACGCCACTGGGGAGACTGGACAAGTATGCTGCAAGTGAGAACGTGTTTAACAGGTGTGTGCATATTCCTTTAAGTCATGTGGCGGGGGGGGGGGGCTTAATTCATTTCTTTAGGAAAAAATAAAATTATCCAGCAAGCAGTCCAAACTGCCAGGTTTTGATAATCATGGCACGAACTGTTTGAGTTGTTTGCCCCTTGGTGCTTGTACACAACAGCACTGATCCTTTGCTTTTTGGCAAAAGGAAAAAAAAAATCCATTTTTCGATTAGGCCTGATTTTGAAATTTGTGTAACTTGCTGAATGGAAAGTCTGTGACTCTCCCTTGGGTGATGCCACATGCCTGCTGCGAGCGGAGCGGCTCGCGTGGGCTCGCGTGAGCGTGGAGACACAGTGAGCAGCAGCTGGCGCCCCGTGCTCCTGTGTGCCCAGGCCGCTGCATCAGGCTGTTGTGGGAAACCAGAGTCTCTGCTCAGAGTTCAGATGTGGAATACTACTGAGATACAGCTTATACAGTGAGGAGTGAGCATGTTTGTCCTTATGTTAATGGTAATCCAAGGGAACTGTTGGGAGTGAGATTTCAGTGACACAAGAAACTCACTAAATCAGTTAGAGTTAGATAAAAGTAATTCTGAAGTTTCGCTGAATACGGAATCTCATCTTGTTAAAGTCAGTTCTGATATTTCCCACTTAGGAAAGTGCAAGCTTAATATAATAGCTTAAAAAAAAATGCATGGGTTTTGTCTTTCACCTTCTTAAAATGTTGCTGCCATTGAATGCCGTCTAATTTTCTCTCTCTGTAGACAGATGGTGGCCCGGAGTTTGCTGGATACGTTGAGGGAAGTCTGTGACGATGAGAGAGATTGTACTGCTGTTTTGGAAAGAATTAGCAGATTAGCTGACGACTCAGGTATGTGTTTATGTAGAGAAAGTTGACTTTACTGTTTTAACAAATCTGTGTTTCTAAAAATGGAAGTTACTGTAAAAATTTCTCTAAAAGATTTCCAAGGTGAATGGTTAAGTCGCTCCTTAACAAGGAAAATGTATTACCATGACCCAAACCAGGCCTGTTAGTTTAATTTTGGAAATTCTTCATCAAAACAAACCTAGGTACCTTGTTTATGTTAATGTTTTAGGACTAATAAGGAATTTTAAATATATCTGCCTTTCCTATGTATATTTATTTATTTGAGAGGAGGAGATCTTCCATGTGCTGACTTACTTACCAAATGGCAACCGTAGCCAGGGACTGGGTCAGTCTCAAGCCAGGAGCCAGGACCTGCATGCAGGTTTTCCCTGTGGGTGATTGGGGTCGTCCTCTACTGCCTTCCCAGGCACCAAGAAGGAAAGCTGGACAGGTGCGGGAGAGCCAGAGCTTGAACTGGCATTCCAGTGTTAGATGCTGGCATCCCAGGTGGCAGTGTAATGTGCTGTGCTACAGCACCTGCAACCAAGATTTGCTTTTTAGTGAGTAAGCTGTACATAACAAAACTTAATGTTTTGAAGTCAGTACTAAGTTTCAAATGTATTTCACACTTGTTTTTACAAACAAGGAAATTAAGTTAGGGCCCTCTTACATTAATTTAAACGTTTTTAATTATATATTTGTTTGGAAACATAGCCAGTCTGCTCCCCAAATGCTCACACAGCTAAGATGTGGCCAGGAAATCCATGCACATTCTCACGTGGGTGGCATAGGTGTGAGCTGTCTTCCCAAACACGCTGGCTGGAAGCGGCCTGGGGAGGAGAGTAGTTAGCGTGTGGTCCGGCCTGCTGCTAGGGCCGGGGAGATCTGAAGCACTGACCCAGGCTGCTGGGCCAAAATAAAGCTTTTATAAAAGTTTCTTCTCTGTCTTTCAAAGATTTATCTGTTTATTTGAAAGCATTCCAGACCAGGGGGACATAGATCTTCCACCCACTGGTTGACTCCGCAGTTGACCACAACAGCTGTAACTGGGCTGGGCATGTTAAATTTACTTACATGGCAGGAAATGCATTTGTAAGTTTACTAACATCTCCATGTAAATAATTGTTACGGCCTATGCCTCTTTTAGAATGCTTCTCAAAGTCTCTTCTTTTTGGTTTCAATTAAAAAGCTATAGTTATGTGACATTTGTGTTTGTTAGGTGCAGAGAACAGAAAGGGCATCTACGTGGGAGAGGAAAAGACACTGCTAGAAAGTTGAGGCGTTCAGAACGATGGCCGTTGGTCAGCACTGGGGAGCTCCTTGGTCTCAGAATGAGAAAAAGAGGCTGTAAGCTTCGTGAGGTCCACATTGTAAAGATGCGTAGTAGACCCTTCTAGAAGGTGGCAGGAAGACTGGGAGACTGGCACGAGAGCAGGGGCAGCTGCAGAGCTGACGTCAGTGGTTGAGCTGAGTGAAGAGGAGTGAGGGGTGAGCCTGAGGTCTCTGAATTGTGAGCTGGACTCTTTGGGGTGTCCAGGGGAGACAGACTTGAATGCACAATCAAAGACTTTTATTTTTATTGGAAAGGCAGATCTACAGAGAAAAAGAAAGACAAAAAGATCTTCCATCTGGTGGTTCACTCCCCAGATGGTCACAATGGCTGGAGCTGAGCTGACCTAAAGCCAGGAGCCTGGAGCCTCCTCTGGGTCTCCCCCCATGTGGGTGCAGGGCCCTGGGCCCCAATGGATCAGCTTTCCCAGGCCACCAGTAGGGAGCTGGATGGGAAGTGGAGCAGCTGGAACACAAACCAGCACTCGTATGGGTTTCTGGCAGTGTCTGAGGTGTCCCCAGGAAGCCTGATGGAAAGCATGGGGTAGCCAGTACACGAACCAGGCACTCCAGCGTGGGATGTGTGTGTCCCACGTGCTGGCTTCACTTGCTGTGCCACAATGCCTGATAGCTTATTCCAGCTGGGATTTTCTGTGTTACTTAGAATTGAAGATGGTTGTCTCAGGCTAGGTCAGGCTACAATACAACCGAAAGATCCCTCCAGCAAGGGCTGGGGCTAATTTTAGGTGCTTTTCCAGGAGCATAAGCAGGAGCTGGGTCAGAAGTGAACAGCATAGCTTCAAACTGGTTACCCATATGGGCTGTAGCACCAGTCCCCAAAGTTACTTTTTATTTTAGTAGATATTTGAGACAGCGCTGGTTCACTCCCCAGATGGCCACAATGGCTGAGCTGAACTGATCTAAAGTTAGGAGCCAGGAACCTCTTCTGGGTCTCCCATTTGGGATCAGAGTCCCAAGACTTTGGGCCATTCTCTACTGCTTTCCTAGGCTGCCCCAAGCAGGGAGCTGGATGGAAAGTGGAGTAGCCGGGACACGAACCAGCACCTGTATGGGATCCTGGCGCTGCAGTTGAGGGATTAGCTAATTGAGCCATCAAGCTGGCCCCAGAGGCATGTAAAATGCTTTGTTTTGACATTTTTTTCTTCTCTATTTTCATTGTGATTTGTATTTCTTTTCATTGTGTCATTAAAGTGTTTGAAATGATTGAAACCTCAAAAGATTGTCTACAGGGCCTAGTGCGACAGCGCAGCTAATTGTCCATTTTACAGTGCCGGCGTCCTGTGTGGATGCTGGTTGGTGCCTGTGGTCTGGGCAAGCAGTGGAAGATGGTCCAAAGCCTTGGGTCCCCGCATCTCCATGGGAGACCTGGAAGAGGTGTCTAGCTCCTGGCTTCATTTGAGAGAATTAGAGAAAGCTTGCTCTCTCTCTGCTTGTTACTCTTAATGTTCCTCCCGTGGTGGTGGGTGCTGTTAATTTAAAGGGTTAAGTCACAGCCTGTAGCTCCTGCACTTCCTGTAGGTGCTGGTTGGAGTCCTGGCTGCTCTATTTCTGATCCAGCTCCCCGCTGGTGGCCTGGGAAAGGCAAGAAGCTCCTCCTGCAGCTTTGGAGCAACTTAACTCTGGCCATTGCTCCTATTTGTGAGTAAATCAGCAGATGAAATACTCTCTCTGTATCTCTCACCCTCTCCCTAACTCTTCCTTTCAAATAAATTAATTAATAAAAAAATGTAAAGCCCTAGTGGCCGGGGTGGTGTGGAGCATAGAAGGCTAAAGCTGTGAAACAGGAACTCAATCCAGGTCTCCTACGTGGGGATATAACTCGTGTACTTAGGCCGCTGCTTGCCAGGGTCTATACTGGGAAGAGGGTGGAGTCGGGCTGCAGGCGGGTATTCCAGACTCTGTGATGTTGGACCATGGGCATCTCGGCCATCAGCTGAACTGCTGGGCACACACCTGCCTCGGGGGTGTTGTTGTTGAATGTGCAAGTTTCCTTTTACAATTGACCGTCTCTGGGATATTTAGGAACCCTTCGCTCTGCACGAGCCCCATGTCACTTTTCTGCATTGCAGGCATCTTTCCCATTCCGTAGTCTGTCTTTGCACTCCCCTAAGGATCCCTCAGTTATTTACTGTAGAAGCCAGGTTATTTTTGTCTTTGACATTTAGATAATTATTTCCTACAGAACCTACTAGTGCTTTAATTGACAAATAGAAATTATGTCTATTCTGTACAGCATAATGCTGCTGGAGTTGGTTCCTGCGTACAGTATGAAAAAGGGGCAGATCTCATTTTGTGTGTTTATTTTTTTGTGTGTTTATTTTTTAATGTGAGCAGCCAGTCGATGCGGCACCACTGAAGACTCCTTTCTGGCTAGCAGGTCAAGGTGTCATATCTGTGGTTCTGTCTCGTTGAGGGTTCTGCTTCCTTGGTACCTTTGCGTAAGTGTGGCTTTCAAGAAGGAATAGTTGCTGGTTCGTTCCCCACGTGGCTGCAAGAGCAGGGCTTGAATAGGCCCACACCAGGAGCTCACGTGGGTGTGGAGGCCTGACCACTGCTTTCACAGGTGCACTAGCAGGAATCTGAATGGGGAGCAGATCCAACAGGAGTCAGACGCTCACTCTGACCAGGTCAATCTCTTGAGTTGTGGCCTGACCCACCATGACGCAAAACGGGCGAGTGCCCTTGACGTAACAGCTGATTTTCCCGTTGTTATTTGTTGGACAGTTATCATCCTATAAAAAACCCTAGGGAATCTGAAATGCCATATTTCTCATATTTAAATTTGCACATGCTTCACTTGGGTCTTTTCAGGTGCTTCTTGTTTTCCTTAAGTTGAATTTTCTGTGCTGGGATTCATTTACTCTTTTGTAGTCTTGTGTCAGCTTAATAAATCTTGTGTTTATTGACTGCATTGAGATTAGGAGTCAGTTGCGACTTGTCTTGGATTTTTTTTTTAAGATTTATTTATTTTTTATTACAAAGTCAGATGTACAGAGAGGAGGAGCAATAGAGAGGAAGATCTTCTGTCTGATGATTCACTCCCCAAGTGACTGCTATGGCTGGTGCTGTGCTGATCTGGAGCGGGAACCAGGAATTTCTTCCGGGTCTCCCAAGCGGGTGCAGGGTCCCAAAGCTTTGGGACGTCCTCTACTGCTTTCCCAGGCCAGAAGCAGGGAGCTGGATGGGAAGTGGAGCTGCTGGGATTAGAACTGGCGCCCATATGGAATCCTGATGCGTTCAAGGCGAGGACTTTAGCCGCTAGGCCATGCCACCGGGCCTGATTTGTCTTGGATTTTTACATAGTGGTTATGGATATATAATACTCTATTGTATTGATTTAAATATTGGGTAAATTTTAATTTTTTCTGTCTCAGTGTAGTGCATTGTTTGTAGGTGATGTTTACATTCTTTTTTTTAAATTTAAGATTTATTTATTTTTATTTGAGGTGCAGATTTACACACCAACATGGAGAGACAGAGAGGGAGGGAGATCTGTTTGCTGGTTCGCTTCCCAAATGGCTGCAACTGCTAGAGCTGGGCTAGTCCATCCACACATGGGCTCCTGGCGCCTCAGGACGTAGGCCGTCTTTCACTGCATTAATGGGGAGCGAGATTTGAAGTGTAGAAACAGTGACCATATGGGATGCCAGCACTGCAACTGGAGACTTAACCTACTATGTCATGGTGTCAGGTGCAAACACGTTCATTTTAGGAAGTGATGTAATTAATACAAACCACGAAGGATGGGTGCCCATGTGGGGGCAGTAAGCTCCTCCTCCCACTTAGGACAGTTTCACTTAAACATGGCTGTAAGAAGAGTTGCAGAATTAGCGTTTCACCAGGTCCTGTTTACACTGAGGACCACAGTCTGGAACCTGATTACAAAGCCTGAAGCTCAGAGTGATTGTGTTGCTATGGGACAGTTGTTTGCTCACAGTTCTCTTGTTTCAATAGAACCGACTGTGAGAGCAGAGCTGATGGAACAGGTGCCTCACATTGCATTATTCTGTCAAGAAAACCGCCCTTCGATTCCATATGCTTTTTCCAAGTACTTACTACCCATTGTGGTCAGATACCTTGCAGATCAAAATAATCAGGTAAGACTGCTGTGTACATGTTCTTAAATGGCATGGCGTGGAATGTCTGTAGGACAGTCCAGCCTACACAGTCTCCTTTGAGTGTTTTCTCTTCGTGGATTTGTTACAAGCTGTGTGTGCCCTGGCAGTCCAACAGGTCTCCTTCGTGCCCTGGCAGACAGTCTGCAGAGCTGCCCTCTGGCTGGCCGCTGCCCCGGCTGTTGTGTAGCGCTTGTTGCTTTGTTCGATATCTTCAGCCAAGTTCTGTCTGTGTAATTGTGGAAGAAAATAAGCAAGATACTTACTTGCTGGGTCCTGCCAGTTACAGGTCCTTGAAGTTGAGGTCACAAGTTGGCACGTTTGCAGAAACAAAGGGATAGTTTTATTACATTGTGTGTGTTCTTCCTGCTGCACTGCTTTCCTAGGTGAGAAAAACAAGCCAGGCGGCGTTGCTGGCTCTGCTGGAGCAGGAGCTCATTGAACGGTTTGATGTGGAGACCAAGGTGTGCCCTGTGCTCATAGAGCTCACCGCCCCGGACAGCAACGACGACGTCAAGACCGAGGCTGTGGCTGTGAGTACATGCTGGGAGACTGGGCTCACAGGATGTTGGGACTGATTTATCTCGCTTAACATGCGTCAAAGTTATCTACACCGAATCTGAAATTTAATCATGGGCTAAGGGAAAGGCCTCTTTATACACTAAGAAAATTATAAGTAACTGTAAATTCACTATCAAATGCAAGAATCAGCTGGTTATTACCACTATGGCTGCGTGGCTGATTTTCCTTTTTGAACGCTTAGACACACATGCACACAGACTCCCCCCAGATGCCCTGAGTAGCAGGAGCTGGGAGCTCCCGTCAGAGTGGCTGACGTAGGTGCTGAGGTGTGAGGTATTGAGCCATTCGTTACTGCCTCCAGGGTGTGTGTCAGGAAAGAGGCTGGGATTGAGGCACTTCGGAATGTGGGCATCCTACATGACATCTCAACGACTGTACTCACCCATCCCCAGTGTGGTTTGAAAAACAAAGTATCCTGGGCCCAGTGCTATAGCCTAGTGGCTGAAGTCCTTGCTTTGCATGCACCGGGATCCTATACAGCTGCCGATTTGGGATTTGTGTTTTGGCTGCTCCACTTCCCATCTGGCTCCCTGTCTGAGGCCTGGGTAAGCAGTCAAGGAACAGCCCGAGGCCTTGGGACCCTGCACCCATGTAGGAAACCCAAAAGAAGCTTATGCTTCTGGCTTTGGGTTGGCTCAGCTCTAATCATTGTGGCCACTTGGGCAGTGAACCAGTGGACAGATCTTTCTGTCTCTCCCTCCTTCTGTAGATCTAACTTTCCAACAAAAATAAATCTAAGAAAAAAAAATCCTGTATTGAATGAAGAAACGTTTGAGTCCAGATGTTCTTATGTGTGCTTGGTTAAGTGTAGGTATTTCAGTGGAAATAAAAACTCCTGGCCCTCGCCCTTGGCGTGGGGTTTTTGGGGAAGGGCTGCCAGACACGCACACGTGGCTTTGCTGTGGTCGGTGGCAGCAGCAATGATCATCAGAGGAATACGGATTTTTTTTTTAAAGATTTATTTTTATTATTTTTTTATTGGAAAGGCGGATATACAGAGAGGAGAGACAGAGAGGAAGATCTTCCGTCCGATGATTCACTCCCCAAGTGAACGCAACGGCCGATGCTTCACCGATCCGAAGCCAGGAGCCTCTTCTGGGTCTCCCATGCGGGTGCAGGGTCCCAAAGCTTTGGGCTGTCCTCAGCTGCTTTCCCGGGCCACAGGCAGGGAGCTGGAAGGGAAGCGGGGCTGCCGGGATAGAACCAGCGCCCATGTGGGATCCCGGGCGTGCAAGGCGAGGACCTTAACCACTTGCGCCACCACGCCAGGCCCGGAACACGGATTTTTAAGCTTTGTGTACTTAATACAGTCAAGTGTGGCAGTAGGGTTCCTGGTAGGTTTTGTTTCTTGCGCGTTGGTAGTGCTGTCCTTGACGGCCATTCTAAGCTGCAGAGAGTCCCTGCTAAGGCCTGAGTTACCCTTGTGGGTCACGTCCCTGGTTCCTGAGTTCAGGCACGAGGCTTCTGATAGTGGATCGGAAAGGTGGTCAGTCACCGGAAGTGTGCTCACATCTGTTTGGCTAGAGAGTTTGTATTGAAGTCTAAAGTAATATATTCACCTTTGTTGATATAAAAATAATGTTCGGTGTTTTGGGGTCACCAGTAGTAGGACAAATTGGACATTTTCTCTAATCTTTTGAAAATCTCCAGTTTTTAAGATACCCAGTTACCAGATAATACTGAAATTCATATGACAAAAGTTAATCCTTTCATGTGTACAGTTCAGCAACAGGACATTTCCATGCTGCGTAACTGTCACCTCTGCCTGCTTCCATTGCCTTGAGCAGAGTTCAGCTTCCTGTATTATATCTCCAGCATTAGGAGGAAATCTGTGGTTCTCTTGCAGTTGTTTTGCATTTCCTTTTTCATGTACTTTATCTTGGGAAGAGTTGATTCTAATAAGGTAACACGAGGTCAGTGAGACTGTGTAACTTTGGATTTTTGGGGGTTGCAGATTCTTACTGAAATAAGAGAAGTGGCTGTGGGATTTACAAAATGTGGGTGCTATTTCCTCTTCTGATGATGCTGAGATTTTTTTTTTAAGTTTGATTTATTTATTTGAAAAGTCATAGAGAGAGAGAGTTTCCATACTGATTTGCTCTCCAGATGGCCACTGTGGCTGGGGCTGGGTTAAGCTGAAGCCAGGAGCTTCTTCCAGTTCTCTAATGTGTGTGCCAGGGGCTCCAAAACTGGGGCTGTAATGCTGCTTTTCCCGGGCTGTTGGCTGGGAGCAGCCAAGACACTTAAATGGCACTCATGGAGTGTGTGTCTTCCTATATTGAATGTGAGGGCGCTTTCGGTGACAGCTAGTTTTCAATAGTTAGTCCTCATGTGGTCCATTTCTGTGCTAACAGACCATGTCACGTGGGAACTCTGGAATATTCAAAAGTTCTTATCCAAAATGTCTGTGAGTGGAAACACAGTGGTTTGAGCTGTCCGCATAAAGAAGTAGACTTAGCTTTCTTTATGGAAGAAACCAAATCCAAGGTGAGCTAGTGACCAGAAAACCTTGAGTTCCAAGGAAGGTTCTGTGAAACTTGCCCGTAGGAAATTACATGTATTCACTAAATTTTAGGGAAGTTTTTGTAGGGGTTGTGCATATTCTAAAAGAACAGATATACCTGCTATTACATATTGGGGGCAGAAATTGAAGCATTATAGTGAAGGGAGTTGGTCTTCTACATTAGAAGGTGAGGTTGAAGGTATGATTCACACTTGTGTGCAGGCTTCTAAAACTAGCTGCAGTTCAGTCGGACTTGATGAAGAAGCCACAGGTATTGAACTGTGTCTTCATGCAGGCAGCTACCTTGTGTTCGTCTCAGGAACATATTGTTATTTTCAACTTGGATTTAGTAAAGGTTAGGTTACTTTTTCTTTTTTTTTTTAAGATTTATTTTTATTATTTTTTTATTGGAAAGGCGGATATACAGAGAGGAGAGACAGAGAGCAAGATCTTCCGTCTGATGATTCACTCCCCAAGTGAGTGCAGCAATGGCCGATGCTATGCCTATCCGAAGCCAGGAGCCTTTTCTGGGTCTCCCACACTGGTGCAGGGTCCCAAAGCCTTGGACTGTCTTCGACTGCCTTCCCGGGCCACAGGCAGGGAGCTGGATGGGAAGTGGGGCTGCCGGGATAGAACCGGCGCCCATATGGGATCCCGGGCGTGCAAAGCGAGGACCTTAACCACTTGCGCCACTGAACCGGGCCCAAGGGGAAGTTTTTCTAGGAAAGGAGGAATGTTCCTAGCACCCAAAGTTTTACCAGATCACCACAGAACTGCGCATGCAAGGCTAGTGCTTTTTCTCAGCAGTACCTGTAGCGCTAATCCAGAGTTGCCTTGAGGATAATCGCTTTTGAACAGTCATTATTTGTTTTGTTACTGGAAAAAAGTAAATTTTTCTTAAAATTATCAGGCAAAACAAAGAAATGAAAACCATAAACAAAAATGAAATTTCTGTGGGTTTATGGTTCATTTAGTGTTTTATTGTTTAATTTATTGGCAGTGGTTAATATTTTTCTGATTGCTTATTGGATAAATAAGGTGAAATTAGACATTGGCCATCTATGTTTTTGTGGTATGTACAATGTAATGATGCTATAACTAGTATTTTGTATTTCCTTGAAGTACATATTCTTATGTTGCTAACCCTAACTAAAGAAGCCTTACAGATATTTTCAGTATGTTTTTATTCTTGTTTATTTTAGATAATGTGCAAAATGGCTCCCATGGTCGGGAGGGACATTACTGAGCGGCTCATCCTGCCCAGGTTTTGTGAGATGTGTTGTGATTGCAGAATGTTTCATGTTCGGAAGGTAATTTTTATAGTTCTTTTTTTTTCTGTTTGAGCACACAATTTTAGTGGTTAATATAGACTGTTTCTGAAGGACTCTGCTTTTAGTGTTTTGAAATATCAGTGAATTTTTTTTGTTGTCAGGTCTGTGCTGCCAATTTTGGAGATATTTGCAATGTGGTTGGCCAGCAAGCCACTGAGGAGATGCTGGTAAGTGTCTCAGATGCCAGGGCGTAAGTAAGCTGGTGGTAAAGGCGGCATGCTCATGTGCAGCCCGAAACTTTACTAGTGTCCGCTGAATGCAAGTCTCAATGGTAATTGTGAGTTTGCGTTTAGGAGTTTAACTGTTTTATCTGTAACCTGGGCAGGTGAATTTTCTTGAGGACTGTTAAAAATATGTGTATGTGAGAACCTTTAATTCATTTTTACCTTTCCTTATTATATTAAGTATATCCAGTTCTTCAGTTTAGTCTTTAATTTATTGCAAACCTAAAGCATTTTGGTGGCATATTAATTTAAGACAGTGGTGCATCAAATGTTCGTGGTATAACACTCAAAATGTTTCTGAAACCATTTGTTAGGCAAAGTAAGCTCAAATGTAAGGTCTTGAATGTCAGTAAGTTTTTTTCTTTTTTGAGAATATCTACTTTTACATATTTAGTTATAAGATGTGATTAAATAGACATTCCTATGTATTGAAATTAAGTTATTTTTCCTGCTTTTTAAGAAACCCCATTCTTTTAAACACAGTGGGAGCAGCATTTGCAATGGAAGTTGTTGAATCTGAATTGTGTGTGTGTCTAATACAACCCTGTCCTCCCGTGCAGCTGCCCAGGTTTTTCCAGCTTTGTTCTGATAATGTGTGGGGAGTCCGAAAGGCTTGTGCTGAATGCTTCATGGCGGTTTCATGTGCAACATGTCAAGAAATTCGGCGGACTAAGCTATCAGCACTGTTTATTAATTTGATCAGTGATCCTTCACGCTGGGTAGGTTTTTGTTGGAGTATCATTTCTATAAAACAGTAAATTTAGTCTGCTTAAAAGCAAATATGCATTCATAATTTAAGAACTAATTTGTGAGGGCCAGTGGCTTAGCAGGTAAAGTCAACTCCGGTGACACCAGCCTCCAGTATGAGCACCAGTTTGAGTCCCGGGTGCTCCACTCCCTTGATGCGCCTGTAAGGGCAGTGGAGGACAGCCCACGTCCTTGGGCCCCTGCACCCACGTGACAGACCTGAAAGCAGTCCTGGCTCCTGGATTTAGACTGGCCTAGCTTTGGCCGTTGTGACCATTTGGGAAATGGACCAGTGATGAAAACTTCTGCGTCTCTTTCTTACCCTCTCCTTGTAACTCTGCCTTTCAAGTAAATAATTAAATCTTAAAACAAACAAACAACAACAACAAAGAATAAATAGTCTTTAAGAAAAACAGAAGAAGAAGGCCCGGCGCAGTGGTGCAAGTGGTTAAGGTCCTTGCCTTGCATGCCTGGGATCCCATATGGGTGCCGGTTCTATCCCAGCAGCCCCGCTTCCCTTCCAGCTCCCTGCCTGTGGCCCGGGAAAGCAGTGGAGGACGGCCCAGAGCTTTGGGACCCTGCGCCCACGTGGGAGACCCAGAAGAGGCTCCTGGCTTCGGATAGGCATAGCATCGGCCATTGCTGCACTCAACTTGGGGAGTGAATCATTGGACGGAAGATCTTCCTCTCTGTCTCTCCTCCTCTCTGTATATCCGCCTTTCCAAAAAAAAAAAAAAACATAGTAAAAATAAATCTTTAAAAAAAAAAAACCAAATGAATGAATGAATGCATGATTTACCAGGGTTGTGGTATAGTCAGCTGAGCCATTGCCCACAGCATCAGCATTGCTATGAGCACTATTTTAGTTTGAAGCTTCTCCACTTCTGATTCTGTTCCCTCACGTTGTCCTGGGGAAGCGGCGCAGGATGGCCCAAGTGCTTGGGCCCCTGCACCGTGTGAACATGCTAACTTAGCAGTGTTATCATAGGTTTGTGGGTTTCAGGATTTTATTCCAAAGGCAGATTTTACACAGAGAAGGAAAGATAGAGAGAGGTCTTCCATCTGCTGGTTCACTCTCCCAATGGCTGCAGTGGTCAATGCTGGTTTCACTGGATTTTCTGTTTATCTGTTAACTGTTTCCTTAATTTCATCTCTATTGTATTTTCTCTTTGGCTTGCCTTTGGTTTAGTTTGTTCATCTTTTTCCAGTGTCTTAAGGGCCAAAGGGTAGGGTGAGTGTGTGTGTTTTAAGATTTACTGAATTTTTACTTGAAAGGTCGGTTTTACAGAGAGAGAAAGAGAGAGGAAGAAAGACGGTTTTCCACTGCTGGTTCACTCCCTAAAAACCCACAACACAAAGGCTACGTCTGACCTGACTCAAGGCTGGGAGCCAAGGGCTTCTTTCAGGTCTCCCCCAAGGGTGTAGGGTCCCAAGGACTTGAGCAGTCCTCCTCTGCTTTTCTAGGCCATAAGTAGAGAGCTGGATTGCAAGTAGAGCGCGCAGGACTGACACTGGCTGCTCTGTGGCCTGGCAGCACTGGCAGGTGCAGTTTGGCCATGCTGTCAGTCTTAGTACCAGGAGCTCTCTGTAAGGGCTGTGTTGCTTTCCTCTTGCTGCTTTCCAGATTTTCTCCTTGCCTTTGACTTTGAGCATTTTTATTCGGATATTATTGTCTGTGGATCTGTTAGTTCTCTTTGGAGGTTTTTTGAATGTCCCCAAATAGGTTTTATTTTTCAATAAATTTGGGAAATTTTGACCAGTTATTTCTTCAAATATGACTTCTCTTTTCTCTTTCTCTATGATCCCCATCACACATTGCTTGATATTCTTACTGAACTTCTCCATTTATTTCTCCAAGGCTGTATTCATTGGTTTCCTAGTCTTTGTTCTTTGTCTTGTGTGTTCTTAATTGCTGTATCTTTAGTAGCGCAGTTTCTTTTTTCCCACCAGTTCACATCTAGTATTGAGGTGGTAAACTTCTTACATTAGTTGTATGTCTGCGCCAGGACTTTTTTTGGTAATTTCTCTTTAATGGTATGGTTCCCTGGCTGTTGCAACATTGTCCTCATAACTTTGTTTACTTTTTAAATTGTGTTTTCTTTTAGTCATGCTAACACATTTATATTGATTAGCTGAAAGTCTTTAAGTCCAAAATCTGATTGGTCTCACAAATAATTTCTGTTGCCTGATCTTTTACCATCCAGGGAATGGATTTTTCTTTGCATGCTTTCTATTTTCTGTTGGAGAGTGAGCATTTCATTTGTGTTTTAAAAGGTTGACTTATTTATTTGAAAGGCAGAACAACAGAGTGAGAGAAAGCAAACTATACCAAAGGCAAGTGAAAGGGAGACTACGGTAGACTAGAGATGAAGCTAATGAACTAGTTAACAGGCAGAAAAATGAACTAGTTAACAGGCAGAAAAATGGCCCCAGCAGCCAGCTCTCGGTTATGCCAAAGCCAGGAGGCAGGCTGAAGTACTTGGTCCTTCACTGTCCTAGTCACATCAGCAGGAGGCTGACCCCGAGCAGAGAGGCAGGGACAGAAACTGGCTCACTGTCGTTGCAGGTGCTGGCTTAGCCTGCTGTTAAAAGCCAGCCCTGGAATCTAGAGCTGGTGTTGTAGTCTGTAGTCGTCCTGGGATGACGGTGTCTTGGCTGGCTGGGAGGACAATTCCATGAGGGCTGCTTGGCTTCTCTCCTGCCCGAGGGGCTCAGCATGCCACACTCAAGGCAGAACCTCTGTTCCATAAGTGATAGAGAGAGTCCCTTCTCATGACCGCTCTTGCCAAGTAACTGGGGGGAGCCAAAGAAATAGCTTATAAAGCCCTGTGTCTGGGAACTGGTATGGCTTTGGACCTGGGTCTCTTACCAGTATAAGTACCTCCTGCTCCACTTTTCATCCAGCTCCCTGCAGGTGTGCGTGAGACGGCAACAGAAGAGGGCCCAAGTATTTGAGTCGCTCCTACCCATGTGGGAGACCAAACTTCTGGCTGCAGCTTGGCGCAGCCCTAACTATTTGGGCATTGAGCCAGGAAATGAAAGATTGGTTCATGTCTCGTTGTCTCTGTAATTATGCCTTTCAGATAAATAGTTTTTAAAAACCATTTTATTGGTTTGACTTTGGCATATGGAAAGTTGATTATTAAACATACGTAAATCTATGTACACACATGCACACACAAACATGTGCATAATGTTTAAAAAAAAGTCCTTATTCATGTTTCATTCTTGTCCTTTTTTATTCCTAGGTTCGCCAAGCAGCATTTCAGTCTCTGGGACCCTTCATTTCTACTTTTGCTAATCCATCTAGCTCAGGCCAATATTTTAAAGAAGACAGCAAAAGTTCAGAAGATATCTCAATAGAAGATAAAAATAGGTATTATTTTAAAAGTTGATTTCCAGTTTGACTGCTTGTATACATCATTTGCAGTAGTTGGCACTAAGTGCTCTTTTTAGGACAGTGCTCATAGGTACAGAAATTGGCAAAACTTTTTTTATACAAAGTTTAAGTGTCTTCTGTTAGTTATGTAATGCATAAGGAGACATATTTCATGCACTCTTATGTGTGGCACATAGAATAGGATATGAAAGAGTCTAAAACATTTGAGTAAATTCATTTAATACATTATCTACTTAGTGAGCTGTTTGTTGGTGTTTAGAATATCCAGGGTTAATGATGATGTTATTTAAATTCTGATTTATGAATAATGAATTTGGGGCCCGGCGCGATGGCACAGTGGTTAAGGTCCTCTGCTAAGGTGCATCTGTTAAATCTAACAGGGTACATTTTAAAATAAATTTTAAAGATTCATGTTTGAAATAAGTTAGCCAAAATATAAGTAAAAAAAACTTTACTGTGTACATTTTATAATTGAGCATATGCTTAAGGAGGATGCAGTTCAGACGAGGACATGAGCAGTGTGCAGACACGCATGGTAGCTTGTTTGAGGACGTGTTCTGCAACAGTCCCTGCTGGGATGCTTGCATGGCCGTGGCGGCTTGTCTGGCCCTTGTCATGACGCTAAGGGACGTTTTCTGCTTGGTCTTGGTCCTGTGAGATTTGCTTTCTTGGTGTTTGGGTCTGGCGGTTCTTCCTTTCCTCTGCCTGGTTTTACCTTTTTGCCGTTCTCCTCCTGTCCTGCTGAATAGCCAAGCACACCTGAGGTACTGTTTTTCGTAAAGGAGGAAAAATCGCTCTGAATCTGTCCGTCTAGCCAGCCCAGGCTGTGGGGTCCTCTGAAATCAGCTGCTGATGGGGGAGAATGATCTGCTGCTAATTTTTGACGCCAGGGTACTCTTTTACTTTGTATTTAAGTGTGCTGAAGGTCGTGGCCTGACTTTAGCTTCAAATCTGGAGAATGAGAACGTAAATGTTCAGAGAATTGTAAGTGATGGAAGATGATACGCCTTCTGTAAAAGGCCAGATAGGTGTCAGTCACTCGGCTCTGCCTTGTCGTGTGAACACAGATGTCGGTGTTAGAGAATATGGATGGGGCTGTGGGCCAATACAGCCTTATCAATTAAAGATGGTTGAAGATGCTGTTGCCAAGGCCCCCTTTTGTAGCATTATTGGAAGATACATTGATTCATTAATTCCTCTCCTGTTATGATGAGATGTCTTATTAAGTTCTATTCATATATATATGTATATATATAATTTTTTTCTATATTATCAGACTTATATGGTGTGTTAAAAAGAGTTCTTCGCCAAGAAAAAAGTTGCTTTAAATATTGTGAAAAATAAACTAGTCCTGGGTAGTGTTTCACGTCAGGGTCGCTGGTTTGATTGCTCTCCTGAAATACTACAGCGGCTTTTGTTCTCAAGCTGCCTGAAGCCTGTTCCGTGAGAGCGTTGATGCACACAGGAAGTGAGCATCTGCTGGGAGCCAGGTGGGACACCACGGGAGCCTCTCTGTGTCCTAGGATTCAGGTTTCTGAAAAGTCAGCAAGGTGCCGCTTGTATGTGTGTGTTATGTGATGCGTCACCCACATCTTGCATTGATCACAAACACCTGACCTGTTGAATCAAGTGTCTCTCTCCCTCATCCTGAAAATGTTGATGAAGACTGGTCAGTGACAAAATTGAGTGTTCAGCTTTGCGCTTTACCATCAGAGAAAGATCAGTGGGACCTTGAGAGTGCTCCCTGTGTGTGCTGCGAGCCTGTCTGGCCCTGCTCTGCTTTCTGCTGCTGCTGGGAAGCTGCCCCGTGCACAGGTGCTGTCGCCCAGCCCAGCCTCATCACTTGCAGCAGGTGTCTCGTGGTTGTCCAGCAGGCCGGAGGTTTTGTTTTGCCCTCAGCGGCACTGGACGTGCAGCACTGAGCTTTAGTCATAGCGTGGATCTTGCATTTGCTACAGCAGAGCCCCCAGTCGACTCTGAGCTCATCTGGTGGGGCGGTCTCGATTTTTATCTTTAGTTATATGAACATCATCACTAGCCTGGCACATTATGGATTGTTCTGAGAAAATGTGGATGTGATAAACCTAAAAATAACTTTTTTTGGTCAACGTAACATCGTGCCAAGTATGTGAAAATACAGTGGGAGACTGTTGGAATTCATCCAGAAGGATTTCACTAATGTTAAAAGTTCGTTCAGCAGAGTTTAGAAAATGGCAAGTTTGTTTTCATCTCAGAACATAGCATTGCTGTAAACAGGTCCACACTTGTTTTCACTTTGAAATACTTGCACTTGATTCTCTGGGATGCTCATGGTGAACATGTGGGCACAAAAAGTTCAAAGTTCACTTTTGAAAACTTCTGGTCTACCCACTGATGCTGTTAGGAAATATAGTAATTCTCTCATGTACAATTTTACATCCCCTTAATTTCAAAAGCATATTTGTTATGTGCAAATCCATTTAGGAATAGGATTAGGGGTCCTGGCGCAGTAGCCTAGCAGCCAAAGTCTTCACCTAGCACGTGCCAGAATGCCATATGGTGTTGGTTCATGTCCCAGAGGCCCTGCTTCCCATCCAGCTCCCTGCTTATGGCCCATGAAAACAGTCAAGGACTGCCCAAAGTCTTGGGACTCTGCGCCAGCATGGGAGACCCAGAAGCAACTCCTGGCTTTTGGGTTTGGATCGGCTCAGTTGCAGGCGTTGTGGTCACTTGGGGAGTGAATCATTAGAGAGATCTTCCTCTCTGTCTCTCCTCCTCTCTGTGTATCTGCCTTTCCAATTAGAAAAAGGAATAAATCTTAAAAAAAAAAAAAAAAGAAAAAGAAGTATGATTAGGGTTGGCATTTGCCCTTGTCCTAACAGGACGTCTGTACCCCGTGTGCTGGCTTCGGGTTCTTCCTCAGTTCTGGTTTCAGCTCCTGCAGGCAGCAGCGGCTCCATGGCGAGGCTGGGTTAAGTGCCTGCCTGCCGTGTTGCCTGGCCCGGCCCGCACTACGTGGGCATTGGGTGCAAGTCCATGCTTAAGAATGTCTGTGTTTTAAAGTTGGCAGTTTGAGCTTGCGTTGACTTGTACCCAGCTGCAAGAAATTGGAATGTAAAAAATGTCTGCTTTTCTCAGTCTGAAGCTGTGCAAGCAGTAATTCCTCCCAGATTTTAGTGCAGGAGTTTTTCGTGTGTCTTCTATTTTTCTCTTTAAAAACATGCTGCAAGTTTGAAGTTTTGAGAAACTAATACACTCGTGTTTTTTAGACAACTGAGTGACCTAACTGGTGACTTTGCTTCTAGTTTCGCTGTTAAGAGTGTTAAAGTTTAATCTCTTTAAAGGCAGGTCACAGACAGTGGGAGAGGAAAAAAGAGGGAGAAGGAGAGTGCTCATCCATGCGGGGTCGGGAGCCAGAGCCAAGAAGCCAACCCAGGCTGTCCAGTGTGGAGTGCAGTGTTGTAACTGCTGGCTCAGCAAGCCCCACAGGATTTCAGACTAAACCAACATAAGCTATCTTCTCATTCCATTTTTTCTGTGTCCTTTTTGCAGTCCACTCATGATTTCCTTAATTCACGTATTAACTTGTTTTAGCACACAGGCCAATTGCACAGGTATTGTGCGCTATAGTAACACTTGCTCGTTCTTAGCTGTTTTCTGATGCCTTGTGGCTATTCTGTTAGCTAGCTCTTCCTTGAATGACATTTTTCTTCCCCTTGCCCTCTTAAATACTTACCAGTTCCTCTATTTTTAAAAGATTTAGTTTATTTATTTTTTTGTTGAAAAGGCAGATATACAGACAGGAGAATCTTCCCTTCTGATGATTCACTCCCCAAGTGGCCACAACGGCCAGAGCTGAGCTGATCCGGAGCCAGGAGCCAGGAGCTTCCTCTGGGTCTCCCATGCTGGTGCAGGGTCCCAAGGCTTTGGGCCATCCTTGACTGCTCTCCCAGGCCACAAGTAGGGAGCTGGATGGGAAGCAGGGCCCCCAGGAACAAACTGGTGCCCATATGGGATCACGACACATGTAAGGTGAGGACTTCAGCTGCTAGGCTTCTGCACCAGACCCTTACTAGTTCTTTTAAATTCAGCTCATGTCATTTCCTCCAAAGCTCACCTCCTCCCCACAGGTGTTTTGGGACACACCCCTGCGTCTGTGAGCTTTGTCTGTGTGTTCCCATCCATGTGCCTCCAGTAGTGATCTTAGCAATTTCTGCATCTCATTCAAATTGCAACTTTTAGTACTGATTCCATTTCTGGCTGCTAGTAGGTGCTCAACAAACACTAAAATGTTAGATTTAATTAAGCCCCAAAGTACAAGAGATAATAAGCTTTAGTCCTCTAGTTTAGATAATACATGCCAATATTCAATGATGACTAGCACCATTTGTTCTTATCAATTAAGTCAAGAACTTTGTGCGAACTTTTTGGAGTAGAAATGAAAATTGTAGAAGAAACAGAATCAATCTTTTATTTATGCTTGAGCAGATTTTGATATACTCTGAGTGAATTAGCGTCTTTTCTGTTGTTAACATCCTTTTATGATGTAAGGAAGTGAACAGACTCTTACCTCGCTGCTGTCATTGGAGCGGAGTAGCAATACAATGAAGTGGTATGTGCGTTTCTGCACTATTTTTCTTTGGTTATTTAGTATTCAAATTAACGTGTAGTATAGAATCCTAGGATTCTGAAATGGTATGTTCTGTAATGTTATATATAATGTTTGTATATCTAGACTTGCAGGTAGCAGGTATTTAGCTGAATACAGAACAACTGGTGGGAAAAGAATCATTGAGTCATGCACATGAGGTTCTCAGTTTCAGTTGAAACTTGCGTGCATTATCTTTTTTCTAGTAGTTATTTTTATATTTTCATGTTCTTTCTCCCCCCAAACGAAACAATAAAAGGCTTCAAGATCCTGAGGCTGCAGAGGACGTGCTTGCCAGGCCAGAGGATGCCCTTTGCGACCTCAGAGGCAGCAGCTGCAGCGTGGCCCTGCCACACAGGGCCCAAGACTGTGCTGCTGAGGTGTGTACGGAAGCTGCAGGTGAATTCAGTGTTCCGGTGGACAGTGCTGCACTTTGTACTTTGTCCTCAGAATCTCAAGACGCAAGTAGTAGTGAGAGCAATGAGAATCTCGTTGACTGCAAATCGGCATCACAAGCAGAGGCTGGCAGCAGTTCCCAGGAGTCGGCTGTCTTAGATCAGGAATTATACAACTCTTTCCATTTCTGGAGGACTCCTCTCCCTGAAATAGATCTGGATGTGGAGCTTGAAGAGGACACTGGGAAAAACCTCAGCTCGGAGGAATCAGAGGCAGCACCTGAGATCCCTGGGCCAGCTTCTCCAAACATCACCGTGGCCAGCAGACGGGAGCTCGAGGAAATGATCGAGAATCTTGAGCCCCACATGGACGATCCAGATGTTAAAGGTGAGGGAGAGTCGGGTGATGCGGATGATCCAGATGTTAAAGGTGAGGGAGACTTGGGTGATGCAGATATGGACACAGTGGTGGTTTTTACAGAAAAAACTGTAGGCTTTAACAGGTAAAAATGCTTGTTTTCCATGGAATGTGGTGTTGTAAAGGGTTGAAGTTTGTTGTTTTTCTCATTGAGAGATGCAAAGTGAGAGGGCACTGGTAACCGATTCACTTCCTAGTCCTAGAAGCCTGGGAGCAGGCCCAGGGCTCTCCCAGGGAAAGTGGCACAAAGAGTTCCTTCACTGTTGACCTTCCCCTAGCATTTCTGCATAAAAAGAAAGCTGGAGTTAGGAGAAAGAGATTTCCCCCAACCATTGGTTTACTCCCTAGATGGCCTCACGGTGAGGGTTGAGCCAGAACAAAGCCAGGAGCCAGGAGCTTCTTCCAAGGTCTCCCATGAGGCTGAGGGTGGTTTTCCACGGCCATTAGCTGGGATCAGAAGTGGACCAAGCAGGATATGAACTGGCTCATACTGCAGCTTAACTTGCTCTGTCACAGTGCTAGCCCCCTTATGTTGAATTTATCTCGTTTATTTGAGAGGTAAAGAGGTGGCGTTTTTTTAGTCTGATATCTTTTCCTTGAGTTGCGTGTATTTTTACCTGATTCCTCTTAACAAAAGCCTTACTGGTTATTCCTAAAGCTCATGTCTGGAAATAAAACATTGTCTGTTATTAGATGAATATGTGTTCCAAGTACGGCAGTAGGGAAAAAAATGAAGAGACATTTCTCATTCATTGTAGAAAAGAGTTGGAGTAGAAAAGAGTTGAAGTTAGTCGGCAGGTGCCTGGTGAAGATGTTGTTTCCTCTTCTTGGAAACTTTAACTTTCTTGGTAACTGTGTAAGCCCTCGAAAGAAATTTATAATGTCGTTTATAGCAGGAAACAACTTTGAAAAATCCATGACTACAGCTCTTTTCGAGCTCATATCACTGAAGTTTTTCTTTTGCAGAATTACATGTAAGGAGAAGTAGGCAGCAGGTACCCGCCTTGAGGCTGTCACCTCCCCTGACGTGTTTAGGTTGGCTCTTGTGTCAATGGTACCTTGCTTTTCATTTTTTCTAAAGCACAACAAGCAAAGTACTGAGTATTTTCAGGGACTCTTTCCCTCTTACAGTGGATACCTTAAAGCTTTATTGTCGTAGCTCCACTCCTCAGTTTGAGCTCATGTCTTTTTTTTTTTCTAAGATTCACTTATTTGAAAGTAAGCATTACAGAAAGAGGCAGAGACACGGGGAGAGAATCTTCGCCTGCCGATTCACACTCTAGGAACTCATGATAGCCAGGACTTAGCCAGGACAAAGCCAGGACAAAGCCAAGACAGAGCCAGGACAAAGCCAGGAGCCAGGAGTTTGCTCCGGGCTTCCCACATGGGTGACAAGGGCCCAGGCATTCAGGCCATCTTTTGCTGCTTCTCCCAGGCCCTTATCAGGGAGCTGGGTTGGAAGTGGATCAGCCAGGACACACACACAGCACAGGTTGGCTGCCAACATTGCACACAGCTGGTAAGGGGCTTTACTTGCTGCCCCACAAGGCTAACCTCCCCTTCCCCATATCGTTGGCGCTTGCCCCCACCAGTTTCTGCATTGTATGACAGCTCACAGTACAGGAAACACTGAGATTTTGTGTTATTTTTTTTGCTTATTTTTAAAATTTTATTTTATTTGGAGATTTACAGAGAAAGAAGGAGGGAGGGAAGAAATAGATATCTCCCATCTGTTCACGCCTCAGATGACTACATTGGCTTTGTCTGAGCACCCTGACATGGTCCATCCTCTGCTGCTCCCCGGTGCATTAGCAGGGAGTTGAATGTGAAGTAGAGCAGCTGGGAATGCAGCTGCCGCTTATAAGGGATGCAGATGCAGCAGGCAGCAGCTTAATCCACAGTGCCACAATATGGCCCCTCTTATTTTTTTCTTGAAGTCTGTTTTTGATGGGAAATAGAGGTTACCAGCGGTAAGCCTGCTCTGGGAGTTGTCATGGTAGGCAACTGGGTCTCTGACATAGCAGTTTGTTCACAACTAGTAACTGAAAATAAAGTACATGGTTTAAATGGTTTATTTTTTTGTTTGCTTGCTTGTTTTGTTTTTGCACCCGAACAAATCAACTGTGTTTGTTTTTGAAGAAGATGTGTGTGGATGTATGAGTTTCAGTATATGACTTTATCTCAGATGACATACACTGTTGAAACTAAAGTTGAGCTGTAAGTTTAGAAGCAGCAGTGGAGAAACTGGAAGACAAATGCCATTTCTAACTCGGCTCTTGGACCTGCCGCATTTAAGCTTGCCACCAGCGTTTGTGTTTATAGCGCTGCTATGCCTGTGACATATTCAGCAGCTCTTGTCTTGTGCTGCTGTGTGCCAGGCACCGTCCCAAGCAGCAGAAGGAGAAGACACTTAAACTGTACCTGGAGTTTGTCAGTGCCAGGTTCCCCAGGGACGCGGGAGGGGAAGTGGGCAGTGTTGGCAGGGTCTGCCCATAGGCTGCAACATTCCTCCAATGCTTGATGTTACAGAAATCTTGGGACACGGTTAGTCCCTTAAGTAATGGTGCCTTGGTTTCTCTACGTTTTGGAAGGTGTTCTGAATTTTAAAGGGGTGCACCTTGGTTTTTTTGGTGCTTTATGTTTTCTAATTCTGCCGTTGTGGTCAGCCATTGTCTTCTGACTGTCAGGAGTTATCTTTGTCTTTTCAAGTCAGAACTTTAATCCACAATTGAGAATTAAGCTCTGACTAGGAAGTGTACTAAAGTTAGGTTACGTGTGTGTGTGTGTGTGTGTGTGTGTGTGTGTGTGTGTGTGTGTCTGCCTGCCTTGATCAGTACTGTGGGAGAGTCAAGGAGGACTCCCAGCTGGATGCCCAAAAGGTTATATGTCTGTCAGCCCCTTGTGTCTGCCCTGGCCAGAGCCATGGGAAGCAAGAGAAGATTTAGGATTGTCCTTGTAAGGGCAGTTTTCATCTTCCTGACTTAAATCTCACCTTGCTAAAAACAGGTGGATCACTTTGTTTTTCATCTTTTAAGTTCTTAGGGTTTTTTTCTCTTTAAAAATATGCATTCATTTGGAAGGCTGGATGCCAAAAGGGAGATTGTGGATCTATTTTCCATTCCCTGGTTCACTCCCAAAACAGATGCAGTAGCTAGGGCTGGTCCAGGCCACAGCCGAGAACTTGGAGCTACATTGAGGTCTCCCACATGGCTGTCCAGTACTTGGGCTCTCCTCCACTGCTGCTTCCTGGGGAAGCTGGGATACTTCAGGCGTCCCAGGCTGTGTCTGACCCCCCTGTAACAACGCCTGTCCATTTGTGGGTTTCAGACATAAAATTGACCAGTATTTTCGTAGTGACATAAGATGTCCCTACAGAGGAAGCGGTACAAAGAGTGAGAGATGTCCTTTGCCAGACTGCCTGGGGACGTTTAGGTTTTTCTTTGTGAGGTTTTCAGAAGCCTGTTCTTCGGGTTGGCCAGCTTTGTTGAGGGTTTAGCTGAGCCCCTTGAGAATATGAGCAGAGTTGTCGATGTCAGGCTTGTTCTCCCACAGCTGTATTTATAGGCTGCCGAACGGATGAGCTGCCAAAGCTCCCAAGATGTGAATTCGCAGGGCAGGCATCTGTCACAGTGGTGAAGACTGGAGATTGGTGGTGTGGTCCAATAGGTGGAGTCCCTGCTCGTGACACTGCATCTGCAGGAGTGCTGGCCGGCACCCCAGCTGTCCAGCTTCCTGCTGATATAACTGGGAAGGCAGCAGTAGATGGCCCAAGTGTTGGGATCGCACCATCCCACTGAGAGCCTGGACGGAGTTCCTGCCCTGTACACCACCCAGCCAGGCCATTTCAGCCATTTAGGGAAGAAGCCAACAGATGACAGATGTCTCCCCTCCATCTTTGGAAGTAGAGATGTACATTGTACATTGTACATTGTATCCTCACATCTGGATATGACAGTTTCCATTTCACGGTTACTATACATCCCCTTAAATGAAAAATCACAACACAAAATCAGCAACAGGAAGAAAAATAGAAATTTACAATGCCATGAAGTTAAATAACATGCTACTAGATATGACAGTCTCCATTACACAACTACTGTACATCCCCTTAAATGAAAAGCCACAAAACAAAATCAACAACAGAAAGGAAAAAGAAATTAACAATGCCATGAAATTAATAACACGCTGCTGAATGACTCTTGTGTCCCTGAAGAAATGAAAATCAAGAACCTTCTTGAAGAAAATGATGCTACTATATGATCTGTTTTGAAGAGATAAATATTTAAAAAGACCAAAATCCCTGAGATTAAGTTTCCGTTGGTCTTTGTTGGTGAGATATGTCTCCTGTAGGCAACAAATAGATGGGTTTTGGCATTTTTTTTTTTTTAAATCCAGTTCACTAATCTGACATTTGATTGATGAGTCTAAGCCATTTACATTCAGGGTTAATATGAATGGGTGGTAATTTGGTCCTGTCATTTTTTAAAGATTTATTTATTTATTGGAAAGTCAGATATACAGAGAGGAGGCGATACAGAGAGAAAGATCTTCCATCCGATGATTCACTCCCCAAGTGAGCACAACGGCCGATGCTATGCCGATCTGAAGCCAGGATCCAGGAACTTCTTCTGGGTATCCCACACGGGTGCAGGGTCCCAAAGCTTTGGGACATCCTCTACTGCTTTCCCAGGCCACAAGCAGGGAGCTGGATGGGAAGTGGAGCTGCTGGGATTAGAACCAGTGCCCATATGGGATCCTGGCACATTCAAGGTGAGGACTTTAACCACTAGGCCACGCCACCGGGCCCTGGTCCTGTCATTTTAGCAATGGGTTGTTCATTGATTTAGTCTGCTGTTGTTATTTTACTGGGATTTTCTTCACATATGCCTTTTCTCTGTGGAGAACATCTTGAAGTATCATTTGTAGGGCAGGTTTGGAAGAGGCATATTCTTTTTTAACTTTACTGTGGAGGAATTTTATTTCATTTTCAAAGACAAAGGAAAGTTTTGCTGGGTACGTTATCCTGGGCCGACAATTTTTTGCTTTTAAAATCTGGAGTATGTCACTCCATTCTCTTCTTGCCTGTAGTTTCCTGTGAGAAATCTCCTGTGAGTTTAATTGGCATTCCTTTATATGTCAATTGATTTTTTTTCATGTGCACATTTAAGGATCTTTTCCTTATGTTTAATTGAAGAGAGCTTGATGATCATGTGTCTTGGTGAAGATCACTTTTGATCAAGCCTGTTGGGAGTTCTGTGCCCCTCCTAGATCTTGTTTCCCAATTCTTTCTCTAGATTAGGGAAAATTTCCCTTATTATTTCATTAAATATATTTGTAAAACCAGTATTTCTTTCTGCATCTTCTGGGACTCGCATAACTCTTACATTTGGCCTCTTAATAGTGTCTTTCAATTCTTGAATACATTTTTTGTCCTGATCCAGCTCTGCTTCCAGCCTTTTGTTTGCTTCCCCCTCATGACAGGAAATATCTTCTGAGATTCCTTCTTCTGCCTCCTGCATTTTATTTTGGAGACTCCCCAGTGTGCTTTTAGTTTGCTCCACTGTATTCTTCATTTCTGATATATCAGCTTTCATTTGATTCACTGCTGTTATTTGCTGTGTAACATAATCCTGCTTCATGTACTTCTCATTGTTTTTCAGAAGCTATATAACAAGTATTTTTAATTCTGTATCCCCTTTTTCTCAATGTCTTCCTCAGTGAATTCTGAGGTTGTCAGAATTCTGAGGTTTTGCTCCTTTGCAGGAGAGTCTTCAGTAATATTCATTGTGCCACAGTCTCTCTTGCTTTTGGTCATTGTATTTCTGGTTATCAGATTTTTCTCCTTGGGGCAGGCTTCTAAACTCTGTCACCCACACGTCTACAGTTCAATTTTACTTATTGCAGTTGGTACCTGGTACTTTGTTTGCAGTCACTTGTGCCACTCCCTCCAGCGAGTTCCAGGTCTGGGTTCTTCTTATGTTAGACTTCCACCATAATCTCCACAGCCCCAACTCCTGACTCGCCACTCTCCACCTCCTGTAATAGTGTGTTGAGGCTGCACTGTTGTCTGTAGATAGATTCTTTCTAAAATAGATTCTTTTCCATTTTAGGCTCAATGGAAAAGCTGAGCTTTTTAAGCACTCCTGGTTAGAAAAATCATTAAGATTTTAGGGATTTGTGACTAATCCTTGGTACGGTTTATGAAAGAGTTAGAGATCAGAAAAGATGAGCTCAGCTCCGCTGACCACCTCAAGGAAGGAGTAAATACAGTGATCCCAGAAGGTACCCATTACCAAGCGTGTGTTACTTGGGACTGTGGCTCTTCATAATTCTTACACTGCAATGAACCAAATCTGTTTGGCTGGTTTCTGCCGTCATGGGTCTTCTGTAAGTGTGTGCCTAAGTTCTTTGGTTTTTCTCACTGGGATTATATTGACCTGTGTGTGGTCAGCAAAGCATGGACAGTTTAAAACTTAAGAAAACCAGCAGCAGATGAGGCTCCCTGATGTGCATTTCCGATTCGTTGCTGCCTGAGTAGTTTCTGGATTTCAGTCTGTGCTGCAGGTGAAGTGCAAGTTTTGACCAAGACGTGACGTGTGTGTTGCGTTCCTTGTACCCTCCTGGGTGGACTCTGAGCACGTTAGCAGCCACTGAGCTGGATGGCAGTGTGCTCACTGGGCTCCGCTGTCTTTTCAACACTTAATTGATGCTGCCAGGTTCACATTGTAGGTCACTTTGTGTCAGCAACGCCAAGCGGAGGGAGTAGGGTTACAAAGAAGACAACATGCACTGGGTCATTCCTGCAAAGAGAATGCCACTTTATTGAACTGCAGTCTGCCTTTTATGCTCTCTAGTTCCTCCCAGTGCTTTTCCAATGCTCAGGCAGCTCCTAACCCCGGGGGGCATCTTGATAAAGGGGAAGTAGGAACTTGTGGTCAAGCAAGGAGCTAAATGTATCAGGCCAAGATTACACATCCTGTTACCTCTTGAGAAACAAGCTAAGCTGTGGTGTTAACCCTTGGGAGACCTGGTCCTGCAACCTTGTGTGATTTTACAAACAGGATTAACATAGGCAGAATCATGGCCTACTAGTCAGTTGCCTTCTGTGAAAGCTCTGATTGGGTACTTCCCAGGGCACAGAGCTGCAGTGCCACAGGGCACACGCACACACCTTGTGCCTGTTTGTATCGCAGTGTTTTCACACCGTTTTATTTTGGTTGGGGAGCAAGGTACAAACTGCGGCTACAGTTCTGCCAAGAATGAGGGTTCTCCGTTAGGACTTTGCACAACACTCAGTTACTGGATTTAGCCAATAATGACCTTCTAGAGAAGAACTTGTTTCTGTCTGTGTCTTGCCTCTCCATTACCACTACTTAATGCATTTAGACAGAAACATTTTGTTAGACTGTCTTCATAAAGCACTTAACTGATTCATTAAAATTTTTTTTAAAATTTGTGGTCACTGAAGCAGTGTTATAGTATTTTTTTAATTTTATTTTTAAAAAATTATTATTAATTACATTGTTTATATGACTCAGTTTTATAGGTACTGGGATTCCCCCTACCCCTCCCCTAACCCTCCCCCCCATGGTGAATTCCTCCACCTTGTTGTGTAACCACAGTTCAAGTTCAGTTGAGATTTTTCATTGCAAGCATATACCAAGCATAGAGTGCAGCATCTTATAGTCTAGATAAGTTTAACGGCTTCTTAGGGAGACCTTCTCTGGTCCCCGTTCAGCTGGTGGTTGCAGTTGCTCGGTTGGTTCCATCTTGAGCCTCAACTTCCACTGGAATCAATGGGTATTGTAGTCCGTCCTGGTTCTGCTCATCACGTACTTGGCCATCACATCAACCTCTGGGAGCTGTATCCTAGTGGGAGAGATCCCCAATAACCCCCACCTGGCCCGCCCCTGCCCTGATTTGCCAGCATGTGTAGCAGCATAGTTCAGTCTGCCCCACATCCCATTCGGCTCTCGTAAATGTTGAGGGGCATGATTCATTTAAATTTGCATGTTAAGCATTCCTATTTGGAGCCTCCAAGTGAATTGTTATTTAAAATAAGTGGTAAGCAGTTGTTTTTGTGTTTTGTTTTTGCTGAATTTCAGATTTATTTATGGGTGGAGGTTAAACAAGTTTTTTTTTTTTCATAATTTTTAATCACCTTTGTAAGGAGATTTAAGAACCACTACTTTTCTGCAAGCAAGACAGTGTTCTTTGGGGATCCCTAAGTTTGGGACAAGGTATGAGTTTCGTTTTCAAAGAGAAATTATGGGAAGATGGAGTGGGATGGAGCTGTGAGATACTGAAACTGTTGTCATTGCCATTGTTTTGTGTTGGCAGGGTGTGTGTGGCTGCTGCTCTGCTAAGATAGCGTAGTAAGTAAGCCTTGCTGGTCTGATTCCCGCACTACCAGACCTAGTGACTCACCCTGAACGCGACTCGGCTAATACCCTGGAGGTGCCTCCAGCGATTAGATAGCCTCTCCTCATACTAACGCAGAATCATGTACAGTAGTGGATACACGTTTCATCTCATGAAAGCATAATTCGTTTTCTACTTTTTCCTCTGGAGAACTAATGATTTACTACAGTAGAAGTTTTTTTTTCTTTTTTTCAGCTTTTTGATGACAAAACCAAAAATTTACACATTTCATTGGTAGTGTATAAAGCAAGTGGAGAAAGACCCGTTTGACCTGTGAGCGTGCTCACCCCGTGTCCTCCTTATTCCACAGCCCAGGTGGAGGTGCTGTCTGCCGCACTCCGCGCATCTAGTCTGGATGCCCATGAGGAGACCGTCAGCATAGAGAAGAGAGGCGATCTGGAAGATGATCTGGGTATAAATGAGCTACCAAACTGTAAAATAAGCCACGATGATACTGTGCCTTTAATCAGCGATGCCATTGAGGTAAGGAGCCCAGTCCAGTGTTACCCACGAGTGGGAACTGCTGCTGTCAGAAGTCTCTGGGCCTGGAGTAGTTGCAGCTCATTACCCTGTCCTTCACACCTTCTGTTTGTTGCTAGGTCTTCAGCTCTTCCTTTTGCACAGAAGAAATTGATCCTTGGTCACCAGGGCCAGTCCTTTTAAATGCCTGGGGGGTAAATCCCAGTCCTGGCTCCTGTCAGTTGACATAACTCACTATAGTGAAATCATCTTACTGCAAACAAAGCCCTTTATCAAGGATAATTAACTCTGTCCTTTTCTCTTTGGAGAGATGCTTTGTTTCCAACGAGACCATTTCACTGCAGTGAGCAGCAGTTTTCTGAGCGGAAGATCGGGACTTGAGGCCATGGTGCGGAGGGCCAGTGGCATTATCTGGACTCTGGAGTGTGAGGGTGGCTACCGAAAGGCACTGGCACGTCTGTGCTGCCAGCCTGTAGCGCTTCTATACAGCCCTTCCCCCATTGCCCTGCTCTGTTCGTCAAGCCGCATGATTTTGCTAGGGGTATCTCTTACCCCTGCCATGTACGCATACAGGAGGAAAACACCCCTGCTTGTTAGGTGTGGAGGCCCCAGGTCATAGCTGGTTCACAGGAGGCCTGCACACACAGCAGGTGGTGGGAGGCTCCGAAGGGCATGTTTCTGTTTGGATTTCATTAGATGACATCTGCTACAGTTAGGAAGCTTCTGAATAAAATCCTGAACCTTGATTTGGAGATTTGAGCACTATGACCTGTCTTGCTTTTCAGGATGGTTGAGGTTTTGCTTTTTCACTGTTAACACGGGCATTTGTGAAAGTAGACAGTTACAGCCTTGGTTCGAAAGAGTAGCAGCAGCACTGTATCTGATGCCTGATGTCTCTAAAGCAGTTAACTAAAAGAGCCCTCTCAATGCCATTACTCTTGTTTCCTGGAACTATTTTCATACCTTCTAGCAAGTTTGATTTAAGGGAAAGGACACTTAGAAGAAACTAGTTATCTTTATAAACTCTGAAGCAGTACAACATCGTTAGCTGTCAGTGTTTGGGGCGTGCTGCTGAAAGGTGAGCAGCTTAGTGAGATGAAATGGAGCAGGCGTGGACACAGGACAGCACGCTAACCAGGCGTTCTTCCCTAACAGACTATGGACTCCTCCCTTCACTACATCCACAATGATTCAGACTTGAGCACCAGCAGCAGTTTCAGCCCTGATGAGGAAAGGAAATCCAAAGTCCAAGTAAGTGACCAGCCCTGTCTTCATTAGAGCTGTTTGTTTTGAGTTTTAATGATAATTCTTTGTTTTTGGATGATATTTGTATAGTTGAAAGAGATACTTGCCCGAGTTGACCATCAATTAAGACTAGAAAGAAATGGAGGAAAGTGGATGAGACAACTGCCTCCAATCTCTCTCTCTCTCTCTTTTTTTCTTCCTGTTATCTGGGGAAAGTGTGGGGAGGAGACAGGACCGCTCCCAGTCTCAATTCACCCAGAAACTTGCTGTGGAAGCTTGACCAGGAGAGCTTTCCGATTTGTTCTGCCTTCTATGGTACTAGCTATCCTCTGCAGGCCTCAGAAAAGAGGTTGTCATGTCCTCCATGAGCATCTGGGCATGCTGTCCACTATACAGATCTCAGCAATCATGAAGACCTACTTATGACATGCACAGTCAAACTGTGAACCCGTAACTTTCCCCGTGGCTGTTCTTCCGAGCTCAGTGATCCAGTTGGGGAGTTTAGGAATCCCCAAAGAAACCTTGCCTGAGGTGATCCCAGCCCCAGCCCCTGTGTGTGCTAGTCGGTGTGGGGTCGGGCTCAGTCCATCACTGACATTAGCTTAGATACCTGTTGCAGTCAATCTGATCATTTCTGTTGTCAGCCCCATCTCATATGCAATGCAATGGATGCTGGGGCCCAGCCTTGCCCGCCACGCACGCCAGTGGAAACTGCAGCCCAGTAACCCCCACCAGACCTGCCCCAGCCCTGCTTCTTGAGCATGCCATTTGGCTTTTATATACATCAATGGGCATTGGAGCCTAGCTCAGCCCGATGACCCCACTGTCCAGCCCACATTCATTCACTGGTGGGTGCTACCATCTGTCCAGCCAAGCCCACCTCCAGCCCTGGTTCTCATGCTCACCTGTGGGAACTGCAGCCCATCAGATGGGTACTGATCATGTCCTTATTGGGCCCATTCCCAGATCTTGCACTTTCCAGGTGTTTCTGTGGTGTAGCCTGACAGGACTTGCCACCCCCTTCTCCCCCCCCCCCCCCCAGTCCTAGCACCTGGTAGCTAATGCCGCAGCAGAACCTACCCAGCTTGCGCTTACCCTGGCTTGTGCATGCACCATGGCTATGGTCACTTAGCCCAGCCTGTACTCTTCCCCCTAACCCAGCACACATGTAGGCCAGTGGATTTGTAGTCCTGCCCAGCCTTATCTGCCCCCAGTTCCAGCTCTCATGCTCGCCAGCGGAAGTGGTGGCCCAGCTGGGGAACCCCCACCGCTCCTCATTGGGCTTGTTCTTCATCCTAGATTTTATGTGTGCTGATAGGAACTGCAGCCCAGACTGGCATGGCTTGCCTCACCTCGGAATTCACCAGCAAGTGCTGCAGCATGACTGCCTGGCCTGCCACTAGTCCCAGCTCATGCTGGCGGGTGCTTTAGCCTTGCCCAGTCCAGCCCTAATGTGAACTGGCTGGGACTGTGGCCCAAACCAGCCTGTCCTGCACTCTGTCCTGGTTCTTATAGCTGCCAGTGGGTGCTGTGAACTGGCCTGGCCGGGCTGCTCCCAACCTTGATTCTTGGGCTCTCCTGCAGGGACGATATCCTGACAGTGGAGTTCTTTACATTTCTTTATCAGGTCACCTCCCTGTGAAAGATCTCATGTAAACCTGTGGTTTTTTTTGCCCTACATGACTTGGCCCACTTCCTATCCTGGCAGGTACACCCATTTTGACTCTTGTTGGGTGTTATAGCCCAGTGCTGCCTGGTCCATCCCCCAGTCCCAGCTCTTGCGTGGTCTTACTGGGTGCCAAGACCTAGCCCAGCCTGTCCTACACCCACCTTGGCTCTTGGGAGCACCACTGGAAAGCTTACTCCATCCAGTCTAGCACATCCCAGAACCAGTCCACACCTGTGCCAGGGGATACTGTAGCCATGTCTAGCATTCTGACTCACCAGTGGGAACTGCAGCCCAGGTGGCACACCCCTTTGGCTCCCCAACCAGGCTTGCTCCCAGCTACTGGTCTTGCACAATGCTGATGGTTGTTCTGCCCCAACCCGGCATAGCCAATCATCCATCTTGGCCTTTACCATCAGATGCTGCAGCCTGACCTAGCCTGGCCCAACCCCTGTCACAAGTCTTGCCGGTAGGTGGTGCAGTCAAACCCTGCCAGTGTGCCCCATCCCTGGCTTTTACACAAACTGGTAGGTGTGATAGCCTGGCCTAGCCCTGTCTGGTCTGCCCCCTTACCTTCAGAACTAACCCACACAAGTGCCAGTAAGTGAAGCAGCTGTGCCAGGCCTGCCCAAAACCCAGTCCTAACTTGGTGTGCTCACCTGTGAGAATGACGGCCGGCCTACAGGGTTGTTCCCCAAGTCTCACCAGGCCCACTCCCAGACCCAGCTCTTAGGCTTGCCTGCAGGTGCCAGGCCCTTACCCAGCACAGTCTGCCCCCTATTCTTGGCCTTTGTGTGTGCTGTGGGTGCTGTTGCCTAGGCTGCCCCACACCCAGTTCTTGGGTGCACCTGTGGGGGCTGCAGCCTGTACCAGCCTGGGCTGTTCCCAGCCACAGCGTGCCCATGAGTGTTGGTGAGTTCTGTGGTCATGCCCAGCTCCGCCCATCACCACCCCCAGCTCTTGAGCATACCAACAGTTATTGCAGTTCCACAAGGGTGAGGCCCATGATCCTCCACAAAATCTGCTCTTTTACTCAAGTTTTCTCATGATCTGGTTAGTGTCTTGGCCCAGCCAGACATGGTCCACCCCCGTCCTGACACTCACCTCCAGCTATGGCTTTTGTGTACACCAACATGCAGTGGTTGATGTGAAGCAGCCCAGCCCAGGTCTCCCTTGTGGGCACGTGTGTTGGTTTAGCCTCAAAAGGTCCTGTGGTTTCTGTCCTCTAAACCACTTGATCTCAGCCCCCTGGTTTATTTTCAAGTGTAGTATCCTGGTTGGCAGAAGTCACTCCGTGTCTGCCACATTCCCCCTCAACAGCCTCTTCCCTCCCACACATCTCCAGACCCACTTCCTGAGCAGTCCACAGCTTCCATTCCTGGTCCTCTGGTGATGTGCTGTGCTGTGTCATGCCAGCCTGGGGCCCTGCCTGCCTGTCTGTGCCCACACACACTCACACATGGGTCCCCTGACCCTGTCTGCTGGCGTGGGGGCATCTGCTGCCCACATGTCTTAAATATATATATATATATATGTACGTAGGCAACTGTGCTGGCACAGTGATATAGCTAATGCAGATTTGACCAGGCCCAGGATGCCTGCCAGCTATTACCTGCCTTTCTCCCAGCAGTGGAACACTTACTTAGCTACAGTGCAACCTAGGCAGTTGCCTGCAGCTAGGAAATTTCCTTTCCTCATCAGGGCTGAAACTGCTGCTGGTGCTCAAGTCTGAATCATTGTGGATGTAGTGAAGGGAGGAGTCCATAGTCTGTTAGGGAAGAACGCCCGGTTAGCGTGCTATCCTGTGTCCACGCCTGCTCCATTTCATCTCACTAAGCTGCTCACCTTTCAGCAGCACGCCCCAAACACTGACAGCTAACGATGTTGTACTGCTTCAGAGTTTATAAAGATAACTAGTTTCTTCTAAGTGTCCTTTCCCTTAAATCAAACTTGCTAGAAGGTATGAAAATAGTTCCAGGAAACAAGAGTAAGTAGAACAAGTAGTAACCCCTTACAACAAGGCATTGAGAGGACTCTTAATTCCTCTTAAAAGCCGCTCAGACCTGGTTTAGTCTTTCTTTACAATGAGTGTTTTTAATGTTGAGATGAGCTTGCTGGGGGTCCTATGCTCCCCGTTGCTCTCGGTCCTGTGCTTTCCTCAGTGCGCCCCGGGTCTCAGTTCCTGGGCATCCCCCACAGATGCTCTCATCCCTTGGTTCCTCATATTTGTGGAAATATCCATGCATACACTTACGTGTTTTATAAAAGATAGTTAAATTTCCATCCAGTTCAGACACTTTGGTTTGGTTTTTTTAAAAACAAGTTGCTCGTTTTTCATGAGAGTGACTGTTTCACTATTATTAAGGCACACATCCAACTCCCATCACCTGTGCCTACCTTGGAACGTGAAGGTCTTATTTTTATTATGTCTTTTTAATTTACTTATTAATGTATATACTTATAAGAATCATGTGAAAGAAGGAATGTCATTGGGCTTTTAGAATTATGTGTTCAAACCACATTGAATCTGTTAAATACTAATCAAAGAAAGGGGGGAAAAGAGAAAAACAGAATCGTTTTGCATGGTTTCCGGTTTGCGTGTCTGCAGCTGTGTCACTGTCGCCCCCGTAGGATGTTGTTCCCCAGGCCTTGCTAGATCAGTACCTGTCCATGACGGATCCCTCTCGGGCACAGACGGTCGACACGGAGATCGCCAAGCACTGTGCCTACAGCCTCCCAGGGGTGGCCCTGACGCTCGGCAGGCAGAATTGGCACTGCCTGCGGGAGACCTACGAGACCCTGGCGTCCGACATGCAGGTGAGGAGGCCCTGGAGGAGCGCCAGCGCCTGGGGAAGCACGAGCGTTGGCTCTCACTTGCCGAAGGACTCCTGTCTGTCCAGCACACGCTCAGGGTTTAAGGAGTTACGTGTGGCAGAGCTTGGAAGTCGTGCCGAGCTTGCTCCGATCCCTCGGTCGAGCTGCAGCTCTTTAAAGGCTCAACTTCTTAGAAATTGTCATCATACCCTAACTTACAAACGGATCATTAGCATCTGAACCTTTATCTGTGGGTTCATCCATCAGAATGTAGGGGTTAATCCCTTTCCCCTGAAATTGATTATTTTGCACCAGGTCTCGGCCTGCAGGACAGCTGTGGCGTGGTAAGCACCGCGCGGCCTCTGCCGGGGAAGCAGAAGCGAAGTGGCCCTGCCCGTTCCTGGTGCTCCCACATGCTGTCCCCACTTCCACACAGGAGCACAAAAAAGCAGCCATTGACCTAGGTCATTGTTCAGTGTCTGGGAGTGGTTTTCTTTTGCTGTTTCAGGGAATTTCCAGGCTCCCTTGGGAGCCTCACAGCCAGGCTCTTGCTGGCGAAGTCCTGGAGACACCTTTCCTTTGAGAAGTTTCTCAGAGCTGGGGAGGGGGCAGGCCCTTCCTGGGAAGTGCTTGTCAGATTTTAAATAACAATGCAAGAAAATTAAGATAACATGAGGGAAAAGATATTTTTAACAGAGTTTTCAGCAAAAACAAAATTTCTGGGTTCTTTCCCAGGCCTATATGAAGATTTCCTAATGTTGCGTGTCTTAAATTGTCAATTCCTCATAAACAAGTTTTGCTTTTTTTTTTTTTTAAACCAAGATAGGCAACCTAAAATCTGCCAAACAGTGAAGGTGGGAGGACCCCAGGGACTAGAAAGCCAGGGCTGGACCTGTCAGCTCAGACCCAGCGTGTGAGAGCCACGAAGCTGTTGTTTCTGAGATGGGATTTCCGACTGTTAGTTTTATTATGATTAATTTCTTGTTAATAATACTCGGAGCGCTAGCTAAGCGCTTCCTGTTGAGCTTACTAAAGCAGTTTTCATTTCTGCAGTGGAAAGTTCGAAGAACATTAGCGTTCTCCATCCACGAGCTTGCAGTTATTCTCGGAGACCAGTTGACAGCTGCAGATCTGGTTCCAATTTTTAATGGATTTCTGAAAGACCTCGATGAAGTCAGGATAGGCGTCCTCAAGCATTTGCATGATTTTCTGAAGGTAACTGGGAAGTTATTTTGCTTGGAATTGTACTGTAAGTCTCAAATCCTTTTTGCTGTCACCAAGGTGCGCGTCCGTATGTTCCGGTGTGAGTAGGTTCAGTCCTGACGATTCTAAGGCGTGACTTACACTGGTCCTATTCCTTTCTGTTTTGGTGATGTCATTGTAACATTTTTAACAAATTAAATTTTAATGTATTTATTTGATAGTTTTCCACCCCCTGAATCTCCCATGTGGCTGCCAGGGTACTCCTTAGCAGGAAGTTGGAATGGGGTGGGTGCTTTGGTATGGGATGTGATATCCCACAAGTGGCTTTACCTGTGGCACCAAACACCTGCTCCCCATTCTAAGTTTTGAGACAGCATTTTAAATTTCACTTTTAGATGATGTTACATCATAGTTTCAAACGTTTGTACATTTTTTCCCTCAAAATTAATAAAATACTTGTAAAGAATGCTTCGTAGACATTAAATTTGGAGTTATTTTGGGAGTTTTTTGGTGTGGGATCTGGTCTCCTTGGTGTCAGGGTTTGACTTTCACTGAAGTGTTTATAACCCTGGAATGCTCTTATTAGATGTCAGCCTGAAAATGCTATCCTACATTTTAAAACCACTGTGTTAGATTTCTGTGTTGTTCTGAGTGGAATTTCCCTGCTTGTTCTAATGAGATCCTGTCTGGCTTGTCAGAATCTGTCAGAAGTTCACCTGAACTGTTACATCTCCTCCATTCTCTGAGTCCAGGACCTGTTTCCCTGGATTTTCTGCCTTTGATTTCATTAACATTTTTAAGAGTCCGGTTCAGTTCTGCACAAAGCTCCATTTGAATTTGATGATACGAGCCCGTTTGATTCTGCTTCAGTGGGTTTTTGCAGACACGGTGACGTCTGGGCTGGCACTCTCCCCCTTCCACGTCCATAAGGTCGGAAGGACCTTTCACAGTCGTGGCTGAGAGGCACCTGATGAGGTGACGTCTCTGTGGTCTCATCCTGCTTCCTGAGCGGGTGACCAGCCCTCGCGGTCCACGCAGGACTCCAGCCGAGCCAGCCGCCACGGTGTGCCTGGGAAAGGCTGATTGTCTGCCCAGCTCCTTCGACTTCTGTGTGTCAGGATCCAGATGTGCTGTCCTTTCTCTGAAAGTGGAGGAGCGGTGCAGGATCTCAGTGTGTGTGTGTCATTTGAGGAATGGCGGTCACGCTCTCAGTCACCAGCAGGGGGCAGGAGAGCCCACTTCCCGCCAGCAGCACTTACCTGCTCTGAAGGCCCAGGTGTTGTAGCTCCTTGTTTATTTTCTTTCCCCAGATGCTAGGGAGGTTGAGCATATTTTCCAACCATTTTTAATTTTCTAAATTTTAATCTATATTTGTTTTTTCACTTCACTTATGCCTGAAGTCGTTTTTGCTGATTTGTAGGAGCGTGCTGTATACTATCTTTTCTCTGATTTTTCACTTTAAGTGCCTTCTTCAAGGTTCTCAGTTCAGATTTAATCAGATTTGCAAAACTTTTTTTTTATGATCACATTCCATGTTTCTCTAAGTTCTTTCATGCCCCAAGTCAGCAGTTTTTTCTTCTGTATTTTAGCGATCTGTGTTGTACGTAGTTCATTTCTGCTGTTTTTGATGTTATTTAAAACAGCTACCTTCCATTTATTTGTGAAGTTGTGTTTTGAGTTTGGGGAAGCTCATTCATTAGACATCACTTTTATGTGCCTCTTAAGGGTCTACGGGGGTGCTGAGATTTTAACTCTGCTGTCCCGGGCAGAACTGTCTTGCTGTTGTTTGCACTCCTCTGTGGAGGAGCCGGTGCTGGGTGGAAGATGGCACCAGGCTGGGCTGGGCACGGGAAGCAGGGTGGCAGGTGAGGCTGACTGTGAGTGTGTGGGGCACAGCCACGCGGGGGCGGTGGGATGGGCACACACTCCTGGGTGCTCCCCCAGCCCTGCGCCCTGAGAGTGAGGGCAGGCCCCTGTGCACCAGGCACTGAGTGCTCGAGAGTGCCTGTCCCTCGGGGCCTGCCCTCATCAGGCCTTTGGCTCCTGGCCCGTACTGCCTTGTGTCTGTCGGCCTCACGGTGCTGGGTAGGTGGCTTTGCAGGCCTGTGCGTTCACGCTGGCCTGATAGCCTGCAGGGGCTGACAGCTGGCTGTGAGGGCATCAGCTGTCCTGGCAGTGGCAGTGTGGGCTAGCACTGCCCACCCACTTGCATCATCCATGTCTCCTTATGGTGTTGTACTCAAGGAAAGAGGCCTGGCGCGGTAGCCTAGTGGCTAAATCCTTACCTTGTCAGTGCCGGGTTCCCTTACTGGCTCGCTATTCATGTCTTGGTGGCCCCGCTTCCCATCCAGCTCCCAGCTTGTGGCCTGGAAAAGCAGTCGAGGATGGCCCAAAGCCTTGGGACCCTGCACCCGTGTGGGAGACCAGGCAAAGGCTCCGGGCTCCTGGCCCTGGCCGTTGTGACCATTTAGCAAGTGAACTAGCACAATGAAGATGTTTCCTTTTGTCTGGAAATTTGCCTTTGTGATAAAAATAGATCTTTTTTAAAAAAAGTAGGAAAAGGTTAATATGGACATGTATTTCAAAAGAAGGTGCTGAGGGACCAAACGATTAGCCTGACAGGATGCCAACTTGGTGTTGCTTGGACCCACTTCCTGGTGACGTCCCCAGGGAAGCCAGCAGGGGGTGCCTGGGGTGGTTGGGTGTCTGCTGCACCATGGGGCACATGGGGCTGTGCTCCGGGTCTGGCCCTGCTCCTGCCCCGGTGCAGATGTGGCCGTCGTGGGCTTCAGGAGAGCGAGAGGCAGTGTGTGTGCTCGCGTCCTCTCACCTGCTCTCACTGCCTTTCAAATGGAAAGTAGGAACTGAAACTTTTTATAAAGTGGCAGTTCTAGAAAATAAGTGGAGCTGTTTAGGAAAAAGATGAATTTAATACCCACCTATTTTAAAACCATTAAGCACAGGTACTACCCTTATTTCTAAAAGTTTAGCCCTAGTACAGTGCATTTTCAGTCTAGTAAGAGAAATAATGTCTGTAGCTTGTCCTGATGATATGAAAACGTTTTTATTTCGCTCCCTCAGCTGCTTCATATTGACAAAAGAAGAGAGTATCTTTATCAGCTGCAGGAATTCCTGGTGACGGATAATAGCAGGAACTGGCGCTTCCGAGCGGAACTGGCTGAGTAAGTCCTGCTGGTCTGTCTGCCTTGAGGGAGTGTGTGCTAACCTCGCTGGTACCATTGTGTCACCCAGCTTGCCGCCTGGAGGCCTCCTCGCCTCCCCTCTCTGGCAGTGCAGGTCTTGCCAGCGCTGCCCCGTGAGTGTGACGTTGGGGCCCTCTGCTCGGAGGGCATCTGGGTTTGTGCTCGGCAGTGTGCCGTCATTGCTGGTGCGGCAGGTGGCAGCTGGAGTGCCTGTGGGCTCTGTTGTGTGTCGGCACCCCTTTGCGCTGCCCCTGCACTGCTGTGTGATGGGCATCCCACTCTGATGATCTGTTGTTCCCGGTGGTTCCTCCTGGGTGGTATGGCTTTGGGGGTCCCGTGCCTGAGCCTGCCCAGGGCTGGCACCCGGCTTTGGTCCTGCCCCTGCTGGGACCGTGTTCTGCCCCTGGCTGCAGTATCTCTCTGTTGTCCCTCCTGTACCACACCTCTCCTGTTTGGGCCCTGATGTCTGACATCCGGGAGCCGTCCCCTTGCTTTGCTGAGCTGGGAAGGCGCTGCCGCCCTTGAACATGAGCGTGGTGCCTGCACATCTCGGCCGAGGTTGCAGCTTTCTCCCAGACTTCCGCTGCTGTGCAGCCCGTTGGGTCTCAGATCTCCCTGTTGGGTGTCTGGTGGGCAAGAAGAGATTTTGTGGTTTGCCCCCCGAGTTGGCATCATGGTGACACTGTACATACCACACTGAACCTGAAGAACTTTCAGGGTTCTTATGTTGAACTTCAGTGTATGTCACATCATTGAGGAAGTGTGTGTGTGTGTTGCCGGGTGTCTGTTCCGTTCGCTGCCTAGACGAAGTCTGAGGGGCGGCAGTCCCAGTCCTGTGCCAGCTGCTTTCTCTGGGCACTACTGTAGCCGCTCAGGCCAGCCTGTGGAGTGTTGTGCCATCTTGGGCCATCCACAGACATGGGTGGCCTTCTCGCTGCTGCCCTCCCTGGCAGCCACCTGCTTGCTCAGAAGCCACTCGGAGGCTAGATGAGCACACAGTAGGCCTGCTGCTGCGACTGGGGCTTTGTTCCTGGGATAGTGCATCTGCAGGAGAAGGTTCTGGAAGGTTCTGTTAGCCCCTGCTGTGGGGGAAACCTGGGCTGCAGCGCGGCAGAGTGGAGCAGGAAGGGCTTCCTGTGCCACAGGAAGAGGCACTGCCTGAGCTTGCTGGCATCCTACTGCACTTCCCAGAAAGGCAAGGCCCGCGGTTTCAGTAGTGGCACGGGTGCCGCCTCCCAGCGACCCGGCATCCGGCACTGGCCCCTTCCCATGTGTCTGACCTGTAGCCTTGCGTGTTTGTAGGCAGCTCATCCTGCTGCTGGAACTCTATAGCCCCAGGGACGTTTATGACTACCTACGCCCCATCGCTCTGAATCTGTGTGCAGACAAAGTGTCTTCTGTTCGCTGGATATCCTACAAGTTGGTATGTCTAAACTTTATGTAACTCAGTCTTTATTTTACTCAGTAAGCTGTTGTGTGTGATCCTGGAGCACAAGGGGTCCTTAACCCCTCGCCTTGCCCCGGCAGGTCAGTGAGATGGTGAAGAAGCTGCACACGGCCACCCCGCCGACCTTCGGAGTGGACCTCATCAACGAGCTGGTGGAGAACTTCGGCAGATGCCCCAAGTGGTCTGGGCGGCAGGCCTTCGTCTTTGTCTGCCAGGTGGGCCCCACTTCCTGCCTCTCCCGCGCCCTTCACCCTTTCCCTAACCTTAACCCCAAGGAGCAGAATGGGACCAGGTGGAGTCTGACCAGAGCTGAGCATGTCTGGCCCATCTCCCTGAGTCGGCACTTCCTTCTCAAGCTGAGCTTGTTCTAAAGCTGCTGTGGACTACATGCCACACATCCGCATGTGGACCATGCCGTGCACCTGCGTGCGTGCTGTGCATGCTGTCCTCCGGACACGCCACGTCTCCCACAAGTGAGCCCGTCTGCCCGTGGGGCTGAGCCCAGAGCTCCGCAGAGTGGTTTCAGAAACTGTGAATGACACAGGGGCGGTGGAGGGGGGTTCTGGAATGTGAGTTAAAGAGCAGGAAGTACAGGGTGTGGCTGACAGTGCGGGTGCCACGGTCTCTCTCTGCCGTAGACTGTCATTGAGGACGACTGCCTCCCCATGGAACAGTTTGCTGTGCATCTGATGCCCCACCTGCTGACCTTGGCCAATGACAGGGTTCCCAATGTCAGGGTGCTGCTCGCAAAGACGCTAAGGCAGACTCTGCTCGAGAAAGGTAGGTAGGAACTAACTCAAAATAGACCGGGGGTCGGCTGCGGAGGAGGGAGGCCTGTCGGGGGTCAGTTAGTGCTTCTGCTTTTCTCTCAAGGTTCTGTGAGATGATAGAACCTTCGTTAGTGTTCTGTCATGCCAGAGGAGCCTTTTTATCAAGGACACACATCATTTTTGTCATTTAGAATGTTAAAAACTTCAGTAACTTTTAAAAATTGGGCAATTACATGATGGAAGAGTCATGGCTTTGTTGCATGCTAGCCAGTGTCTGGGGCCGGGCTGGGAAGCACAATTGCTCATGTTCCTCCTTGGCGGGCGTGGGGCAGGCGCTGGAGGGCTGCCGGGCCAGTGGGGAGCACGGTTGCTTATGGCGGGCATCGGGCAGAGGCCAGGCGTTGGCAGTCCTGGGCAGCAGGTTGTAATGCAGTGCTCTGGGGAAGCCAGCCGACTCTGCGTACATAGTGGCTGCTGGGTGTAAAAGTCAGCTGAGCTTTGGAGGACATGGGTGTCTCTCGCTGCCTTTGAGAGATTGCAGTGCCAATGAAATAGTTCCAGGAGAAGGGGCTTGGTCTTTGTTGTGTGTGTGTGTGTGTGTGTGTGTGTGTGTGTGCACATTCAGGTGGCATTTGGAACTGTTATAAGCTAATAATGACAAAGAAGTGTATGTAAGTTTAACACTCCTTAGCTGCCATCGACTGTCATGAGATTTAGTTGGTCGGGAAAACACACCTGTAGACCTCACAGCGCTCACTGTGACACACCTGTAGACCTCACAGCGTGCTTGCTGACACACCTGTAGACCTCACAGTGTGCTTGGATTAGTGAGTGTGATTGTGCGCGTGCTTGGGTTAGTAAAACAGTTGTGTTTGTTGTGATTCGGGACTCACGCCTGAACCCTCCTGTCCTGTGCGCTCGTTCTGTGCAGACTACTTCCTGGCCTCCGCCGGCTGTCACCAGGAGGCCGTGGAGCAGACCATCATGGCCCTGCAGATGGACCGCGACAGTGACGTCAAGTATTTTGCCAGCATCCACCCGGCCAGTACCAAGCTCTCCGAGGACGCCCTGAGCACGGCTTCCTCCACCTACTAGGGAGCGGGGACCAGGCGTCCCTCCTGCTCTTGTGGGGCCGAGGCCCCGCCGGTGCTCCCCACGCGCGGCCCTGGGCCAGCCTCTGGGGGAGAGGCCTTCTCGTGCAGACTTCACAGCAGGCACCAGTGGCCTCCGCCTGACACCAGGGATCTGAAAGGCGAGAGCAAGCACAGTAAACACTATTATCTTACCTTGACTTGAAGGGAAAATAATTTCTCAGAGGATTATAATTGTCACCGAAGCCTTAAACCCTTCTGTCTTCCTGACTGAATGAAACTTGAATTGGCAGAGCGTTTTCCTTGTGGACGAGATGAGATTCCCAGAGACCTGCATTGCTTTCTCCTGGTCTGCTTTAACCAGCGATATATGAAATTCCTACAGCCGGAAGGCGGCCGTGCGCCCAGACGGGAAGGAGACCAGTGTTAGCCCTAAGCGCGCTCCTCCGAGGCAAGGACCTGCGGTCGGGGGCCAGCTCCCCACCCGGCCCCACGTGTGAATAGTTTTTTGACGTGTGTAAATGAGAAAGGACGTTTTTGGATTTCTCCCAAGGGCTTGATGCTAACACTAAAGTAGACTGATTTTAACTAGATGCAGCACATTGCTGCGCACACTCACAGGACCTTGCTGCGTTTCTCTGTCCTCATGTTCTTCATGCTGGTCATGACCTGAAGGAAATTTATTAGCACGTAGATTGTATGTCAGGTGTTTTTAACTTGATCATGATCAGCTCTGAGGTGCAACTTTGTTCACATACTGTGCGGACCTGTGACCACTCCTGGGAGTGTTGCAGTCTAATCATGCTGTTGAAAACCGTTGGGGCACATGTTCTCTTGTCCAAATAAAGTTTATTAATAAGATCTATATAGAGAGATATATACACTTTTGATTGTTTTCTAAATGTCTACAAATAAATGCAATTTGTGACCAGTGTAATGGCTTAGTATAAACTGGGGAAATGAGCTGAACACATTAATCTCTTCAGGATGCTGCCGGTCCCCCGAGGTGGGCTGTGGTTCTGGGCAGTGGGCTTACTGAGCTCCCAGGCTTCCGCCTGCCACGTCCCTGGGGTGAGAGAGGTCATGCATGGGGGTGAGAGCATCCAGGAGCCTCAATTTCCTCATCTGTAAGATGGGAAAGGTGAAGACTTGTCCTGCACCCAGAAGGGGCTCTGCGTGTTGACCCAGGTCACTCCCATGAGCCTGTGTGAGTGCCTCTTGGGAGCTTGGGTTTGGCTGCTCAGCTGGTGAGGCCTCCCCAGTCAGACCGAGCATGTCCCCCTGAGCCCAGGTGTGCACTGGAGAGTGACCGTGGGGGCCACTCGGGGGAGCGGAGAGTAACAGTCGAATGTCACCTAGCCAGAGCAGTGCTGGGCCCTTCGCGTTTTGCACCCGGTGGCAGTGCACCTGTCAGCTTATGTAGTCACCCTGGTGTTTACACCGTGAAATCACCTGGTGTGTTTCTCAGAGCGGGACCCTGTCCTCAAGCAGTACATGATTCCAGGTAGGCTGTGTGTTAACAGGGCAAGCGGGAAGGCAAGAATAGGCTCTGGGTGTTGGATGGTGGTCCAGCTTGCCAGAGCAGACATTGAAGGACAGGTGGCCTCTTGGCTTACTTCTGCCTCATTTCTTTCAGTATAAATTGTCTGTGCGCTTTGGCCTCTCGGGATTTCAGTTCTGTCTGTGATATCAGAATCACACTGTAATCGTTGTACTTTCTGAAAGCAGAAGCAGCCACTGAATGGATGTGAACAGAAAGAAAAAACCCGAAGTGCCCAGGCCAGGTCTCTGCTGCCCGGAGCAGCTCCAACACTGCCCTGGGGCATCCCAGGGGCTCCAGAGGCCAGAAAGGCACCTGCACGCTTGAGCAGCTTCCTGGTTCCAGTCACCCCCCTTGGCGTGCCAAACAAGCAGAAGGCAAGAGTGGCTCCTGCGCAGTTTAGCTGGGGGACCCCCTGCCTCACGGGAGCTCCTTCATGTGAGCACGTGGCTTCCAGAGCCAGAACCGGTGACAAACCTGAGTGAACGGGTGATGGCACAATTGGTGCCCTTGAAAAATGGACGAAACGGTCATCTCTGAGCACGAGGTATGTGGTGAGTAGCCCCTCAGGATGAAGAGCATGGCTCCATTCCCCAAGGGCCGCCCAGTGCCTTGCGGTCCCTCCCTGGCCTGGGAGTGTGTGATAACCAGCTGTATGCCTCGGCTTGCCCTGACTGCCCAACACCCCAGAGCCGTGCGTGCTGCCCTGCGCCAGCCTCCTGTCTGCTGGATGGCCCTCCCTGTACCATCAATGTGGGTCCCCCTTTCCATGGGTGGGGCTGTGCCAGCAGGGATGGCCTGGGCCAGGCACTGGGCTGGGTCGGGCTTTGACCCTCACAGCCCTGCGGTGTGGCAGTGCTGTCCTGCCAGTTCCCACCAGGCTGGGAAGTGGTGAAAAAACGGCTGGATGGAGGGACCCCAATAACTTGGTCTTGGAAAAGTGACTTTTGAAATGGATCCTGACAAAACAAATCTTGACTCGGAGAAGACATTGAGAATTTGAGCCTGGAAATAAACATGAACAAACAAGCCTTTGTGGTTTCTCTTGTATTATTTTGTTTAAACATTTATTTTTATTAGAAAGGCAGATTTCCAGAGAGAAAGAGGAAGATATTCCTTCCCGTTTCAGTGGCCGGAGCTGAGCCACAGTGGCCAGAAGGCAAGAGCTTCTTCTGGGTCTCTCTTACAGGGGCCCAAGGCTTTGGGCTATCCTCCACTGCTTTTCCAGGTCACAAATTGGGAGCTGCGTGGGAAGTGGAACAGCCCAGATGCGAACCAGAGCCCTACCTGCTTTCCCTCTGTACCTATCTGTGGGGACCCTGACGGAGCCCCTGGGCCCCAACAGGAGGCAGCGCACACCCCTTCTCCCCTCGGCAGCATTTCTGCCCCGAGTCTGTCTCCCACTTCAGAAGGGCAGGCAGGCTGAGCAGGTCACTGGGTTAACCTAGGTCCTGTCTGTGCACCATGCGGACCGTGTCCCAAAAGGCAACCTAATGTGACGGGACGCTCGAGCCCATGCTTTAGCTGGCCTCTAGGAGGTCGGTGTGACCTCACCACGTTGCCATGACGAGACCAGATGGGCAGCAATCTTCCTGCAGGTTTCGGAGAACAGTCCTTGAGGTAGTTTTCCAGCTGAAGCCCACGCTCTTAATGGGCACAGCAACATTTCTGTGGATACCAGTCAACTAGGCAGGGTGTTCGGAACCTCATGGAGGACAGGATGTGGTCCTGGGGTTGAAGCTTGAGTCAAGGGGAAGAATTTTCTAGAACACAAGCTAATGTCTGCTGCAAATAAAAGCTCTCATGCCCTGGCTGAACTACAAGTCTGGTGGCTTCAGGGTCTCAGGACTTGAGGGAGTGGCATTCCCACGTCTCAGGCCATGGGGCAGGCAGGGATGCCCTCATGGAAGGCTCCAGAAAGCACCAGTCTGCAGCTCTGCTCGCCAGGCTAGACTTACAAATGTGTCCCAGTGTTGACAAAACCCAGGGACACGCCAACTTGGTAAGTGTCCAGTGCTGCCTTTAACGGGCAACCAGCTGCTGTGCAAGGGAAAAACCCCTGCAGACACTGTCCGCCTGGCAGCCGACCCTGGGTCCCCGACGTCATGCCAGGGTGCCCGAGACCTTCAGGAAACAAGATCATTACTCCTGTGTTTACCTGGATCAGGTTAATGCTCCAAAACAGAGAAGCCAGCTGTTGGTCTAGGCTTGAAATGACCATTTTTAAATTGTGCAATATTTTGTTTTACTTGAAAAGGCAGGGCTACAGAGAGAAGGGGAGGGCGTTCAGCCCTGAATGGCTGCAGTGACTGGAGCTGGGCAGTCGGAGCCAGGAGCCTGCTCCAGGTTGCCCTGTGGGTGTAACAGGGCTGTGAGCATTCGGGCCACCTTCCACTACTTTCCCAGGTGACTGGCACCCAGATGGCATGCTGGTCCTGCAGGTGGAGGCCCTGAATCAGAGTTCCTTACAGTGTGGAACTGTAGGAAGAGGAACAAAAAGCACATGGGCGGTGCGGCTGTGAACTGCCTTGGAGCTCAGCACTGCGGCGAGCCGGGTTGCCTGAGCCTGTGGCGCCTCCGAGGCCAAGCTCTCGTCCCCTGCAAGAGAGAGCGCAGTGCCAGGCTCGGGCCAGAGCTGCAGGCACCGTGGCCTGCGGTAGCAGCTCAGGGAGGCCTGACTTGCCACAGGCCCGCAGAAGAAGCGCTGAGACACCATCTTTTCCCAAATGGCTGTTGAATTTATTTGCTTGATCAGTATGGTCCTGGCAGAAGTGAGTTAACCAACGCAGAGACCTTGGTCATGAAATACTAAATTTAAAAACCCAGGATAACCGTGATAGAAATTAGGAGTTTACACAAACAAAAAGGAACCCTTCACTCTTGCCAGCGAACAGAAGATGAATGGAGTCTGACAGGACAGCTATAAGGAGCTGATACATTTATATTTGACACCTGACCATATTTTCAGTCACTGTAATATCTTCTCTCCAGATTTAAAAAAATAGTATGCTGATTTCTATAACAAACTTTTTTTTCCTTGTACAAAAATCAAATAATGGCCAACAATTCACAACAGTGCAATAGGTAGAGGATAAAAAACCGCGTTAGACAGGTGCTGAAAATAAATACTAACTGGGAGGGGCGAGGGGGAGGAGGAGAGCCCTCGGTGGGATTTGAGTTCATCACCTCTGTGTGTGGGCCCCAACCTGCGCATGGGGGCCTCGCCTGCCTTCACTGTGGGGTGCCCAGCCAGCTCCCCCGGCTGCAAGGGGCCGTTGCCTGTTGCTTCCCTGTTGGTGGCAGCTGCGGGCAGCGTCAAGAAGACATGGTGACCAACAACTTGGAGACATGTATCTGCCTAGATATATATATGGCTTATTCGGGCAGAGACCTGTGCACTTCAGCCCAAGCCGATGACCCGAGCCACTCCGGTTCTCAGGGAAGGCAGGGGGGACACAGCTGCTCAGGGCAGCAGCCGTGGCGGGGAAAAGGCCTTAGCTGATCCGCTGCAGTCCCGCCGGGGCTACCTGGCTGTGAGCACAGCAGGCCGACCATCGCAGGGACTGGGGAGGGCCACGGGGCCAGGGAGGCGGGCCAAGGCGGCCCCGTGACCGTGATCTGCACCGAGGTGGTGTGAAAGGCACGAGCAAGAGTGACTCGGTGGGCAGAGGGCCCTTGGGCCGTGACGGCAGGTGGCCACCAGGGACCGGGTTTGGTTCCCCCCCCAACCCCCCCTGGAATGAGAAAGAGGTCCTGATTCTGCTGTGATACAAAAGCAAAAGACAGACAATTTTTGGTTTAAAAAGAAGCCACTCAAGGGTTAAAATAGTTACTTTAAGTTAACAAAGAAAATTCATCTTCAAAGAAAATTAATCTTCAAATAAGCTGACACTATCTGGAAAACTCACGTGTCCCCTGCGAGCCCCCGTGGGCCCGTGCTGTGTCCTCGCCGCGCGTGGGCCTGCATGGAGGCCTCTGAGAAGATGACTTTACATAAAGTCCAGCGCCGCAGGCCGCCCGCCGGGCTCAGGACGCGCAGATGCTCAGATGGGCGTCTCCTTCCTGTCCTTGCTCGGCGATGGCTTGGCCGCCTCCTTGCCGGCCTGGGGCTGCTCCTTGGCGGCCTTGGTCTCGGGGCCGCCGCTGTCCCGGGGCGGCTGGCCAGCTGCCCCGCGCCGCTCAGGCTCCTCGTCGTCGGGCGCAGGCGGCTCGGCCTTGGCACGCTGCAGCAGGCGCAGCTGCACGCGCAGCTCGATGATGGCCTCGCGCTCCTCGTGGATGGCCTGGTTCAGGTGGTTGTTCTTTATCTGGAGGGAGGAGAGAGGGCGGTCAGCGCTGCCAGCCAGGGACTGGGCAGAGGACGGCCCAGCAGCAGGGCCGACCGCAGGGGCATCCGATGGAGTCTAGTCTCATCGACTGAGCGTGGAGGCCAAAGCCAGAAACACGGATACACAGATAAGCCTGGGGAGGAGACCAGAACCTGCAGCCCCTGCAGTGACGCACGGTGAGGCTCTGGGCTCAGCCCAGACTCCCTCCTGTCGCACCCCACGCGGCCCTGAGGCCACCTGGCAGACCTGCTGGGGTGAGGACAAGCTGAGCGCAGCTACCTGGGGCTAGCTTCCTGTCCACAGAAAGGACTGCTTTTCTCCAGACCTGGGGCTGAATGTCTGGGCTCAGGAGCTACTCCAACCAGCCAACCACCATATTTTCCCCACGTGGGGAAGGGAAGGAAGATCCGATGTGGAAATCCGCCCTCCCCACGGGTGCCCACTCCGTGCTTTCATCCTACCCACTGCGACTCCGGAGACCTCCCCTTCTGCGGGCACGGCTTTTGCTGTTTGGGACAGAGAGCAGATCGTTCGCGACTGTTCAGAGCGGCCCAGCCAGGGGCCCTGGTGCTAGGAAGGGTCTGCTGCACGCGCTCAGCCAGAGGCAGCACTCGGGGGTGGCAGCCCAGGCTCGTGGGCGAGACATCCCTCAGTGCCCTCCAATGCCCGCGGACTCCCAGGGACCAGTCTCCGCAGGCACTCCTCTCTCCCAGGACTCACTTCCAGCTCTTCATTCTGCCTCTGCAAGTCTTCCAGGATGACCTGCAGCTCCTCCTCATCCTCGCTCTCACTCTCGCTGTCGGAGGAGTACTCCTCGGTCTCGCTGCGACCGTGCTGCTGGCGACTGTGAGGGCAAGAAGCACAGGGACCTTCACTTCCTTTTAGCGTTACCACATCTGCAGGCATCTACCTAATGTAACTTTTTAAAACTTTAAGTCAAACCAGAGAGATTGCCTATCTGCTGTTTTACTTCTCACTGCTCCCCACAGCCAAAGCTAGATGGGGCTGAAGCCAGGAGCCAGGAACTTCCTTGGTTTTCCCACACAGATGGCAGTAGCCCAAGCCCTTGAAGCAGTTTGTTACCCCACTCTGTGTGCTAGCAGGCAGTTCAAGTGGAGCCCAGGACCCCAATATGGGACGCAGCATCCTAACCACCACCCCAGACACCAGCTCAATAACACAGTTACGATCAGACAAAATACTGGGCCCAGTGCAACAGCCTAGTGGCTAAAGTCTTTGCCTTGCATCCACTAGGGTCTCATGTGGGTATCAGTTAGTGTCCTTGCTGCTCCACTTCTCCTCTAGCTCCCTGCTTGTGGCCTGAGAGAGCAGTCAAGGACGGCCCAAAGCCTTGAGACCCTGCACCTGTGTGGGAGACCTGGAAGAGGCTCCTGGTCCCTGGCTTCAGATCATTGCAGCCAACTGGGGAGTCAACCAGCGGATGGTAGGTCTTTCTGTTTCCCCTTTTTGTAAATCTGCCTTTCCAATAAGAGTAAATCCTTAAAAATCAAGAAGAAGATGTGACAGAGGACCTGAAGCTGGCTAAGCTCAGACGCCCAGTTCTGCCGGGGAGTGCTGAGGCCGGAGCCCCAGGCGTGGCGCCCCTACCTCTGGATCTCGGCGATCTCGGCCCGCAGGCGCTCGATCTCTTCCTTCTCGGAGGCGATCTGGCGCCGCAGGAACTGCTCCATGGCCAGCAGCTCCTCCTGCTCCGTCAGGATCTCATTCTCCTGGAATAAGGAGCGGTGGTGACCACCCTGCGAACTGTCAGGAGGCTGTGGCGCCCCTGGCGGCCCTGCACGGCACTGCAGCACACGACTGCACAACTCAAACCACTGTTTCCTCAGGGCTGACAAGGGGCTTGGGGGAGGGGGGAAGATACACACATTATTTTGGGAGAATGACTATAGAGTTTTCTCATCGTAAGTGAATGTCACAAAACACGGGAACCCTGGGACCCCGTGAGGCTGCGCGGGACCCAGCTGGGGTTGGAGCAATGAAACCTGCTTGTGGAGGAGGAAAGAGTCCACTCGGAGACAGAGGTCTGAACAGCATCACCAGGAAGAGGGCCAGAGCTGCGTAGCTGGACTCAGCGTCACCATCAAGGGGTCAAGGTGAAGGAAGGTCAAAGGGGTCAAGGGGAAGAAGGTCAAAGGGTCAAGGGGAAGGAAGATCCAATGTAGAAATCTGTCCTCATCACAAATACTAGCCTCCCAATGTCTACACAGCTGTTACTGTGCTGCGCGAAACGCCACTCCTTGGGTGGGAACTTGGAGCTCAGGGACACACTGGCGGAAGTCACTGTGAGCCCGAGATCTGCAAGGGGCTGCTGACAGGGAACAGAACCCAGGAAGCAACACAGAGGGACACTGGTGGCTGGGGGGGATGAGGGTGGGACAATGGAAGCAAGCAGCTGACACGGATGAGGAGCACCACAGCTGCACGAGACGTCCTCGGGTCTATGTGGAAGGAGGGTCGAAGGGCTGCCATGGCCGTGGTCCCGACCGATAGCCTGGGCTCCTCCCTTGCACGCGGGCATCGGTATTTCTGGGATCCCCCTTGCCTCGGCATGGCCATGAAGCTAACAGTCCGACAGCAGTGAGGCTGCAAGCCCCCAAAGACAGAATGCAGGACTCCATCCTCTAGTGGTGTGTCCCTGCTGAGGAAAGGCGTACTGTCCCTAGCAGCAGGGGACAGACAGCTGAGGGCAGAAGGAGCACACACACACCCACGTTTCTGGAAGCCTGGGTGGACTAGGCGGTCTGGGCCTGATCTTGTTTCCTTCCTGGTTAAACCCCAGGGTTTCCTGCCTACAAGGCAGGCTAACATGGGAAGCTGGAAAATGAGCACTTCTTGGTCACTCTGTCTGGAATCTGACGTGCCTTCAAAATGTTCATGGGAACTAGAGTCAGAAGTCACTACATTTTGGTCCCAAAACAAAATCCATGCGTTTTCCATCCATGTGTATTTTCACGAGCTTCATGAAGATGCCATCGTACAGTGGGTATTCAGGAGATACTTGAGGGATACACAGACAATCTGCCTCCGACCACTGCCCTTCATTCGCAAAGAACAGACTCAAACGTGAATACTGCCAGCACCACAACCAGCACACGAAGCCCACATCACTGCATTCCAAATTAGGAGTTTTAAACGATAGTTTGTTTACCTGGGCAAGGAGAATATTTATAACTTCCTCATTTTCATTCATTTCTTCTTTGGAAACGTCCTCTTTTGAAAGGCTGGCTATCTCTTGTGCAATCTTGGTTTCACACTCCTGTCCAGTGAGACAAATGGAAAAGGAACTGGGTCCGTGTGCAAGTTACACATCAGCAAATCCACACCAGCACCCATTCCCTTCTCCCTCCACAAAACTGACAAGGCACAGCGACAGCCCCGTGACCCAACGTGTCTGCAGCTGCACTGTGGGAAAGGTTCGATTCCAGTTCATCTTCTGCACAAACTCCCTTCTGTCATGCTGTGGAGGGGGGATGTGCCCAGGGCTGTCAATATTAAACATACAATGCAGCTTTGACAAACGTAAAGTCCAGGAACCACAACCATCATGCCATAGGACTTGCCCATGGCTCAGGAACCCCTGGGCTCTGCTGCCTCGGAGGAGGACGACCTCCTTGGCATTGCTTCAAGGCCTCCTGTCAAAGGCCCCATCAGTGGATGAACCAGCAGGAGGTACTTGCATGTGGCCTTCACCAAGCACAGTTCTGTCTGTAAAAATAACTACCTAGTAATACTCTATCTGCTTTATCCACTGACCGCCTGGGCTCTTCCTAGGGTTTAGTGCTTCCAGATCTGCTAGAAACATTTTGTAAAGGCTTTGTGGGAATGTAGGCACTTTACTCTTTTTGATTTAACGGTTTATTTTTTTATTAAAAAATCAGAATTAGGGGGAATCCCAGTGCCTATAAAGCTATGTCACATAAAGCAATGTAATCAATAAAAAAAAAATAAGCAAAAAAAGAAAAAAAAGAAAAAGAAAAATCAGAATTACAGAGAAGAGGAGAGACAGACAGAAAGATCTTCTATCTGCTAATTAATTCCTCAAGTAGTCGCAAGGGGGCTGAGCTGCACTGATTTAAAGTCAGGTGCTTCCTCCGAGTCTCCAACATGGGTGTAGGGTCCCAAGGCTCTGGGCTGTCCTTGACTGCTTTCCCAGGCCACAAGCAGGGAGCTGGATGGAAAGTGGGGCAGCTGGGATTAGGACTGGTGCCCATATGGGATCCCAGTGCGTGCAAGGCCAGGGCTTTAGCCATTAGGCTATTGCCCTAGCGACCCTAGGCTCTTTTCTCTTAAATGTCTAATAGTTGGGGCCATCTGGGGAATAAACCAGCGGATGGAAGATCTTTCTCTCTGTCTTTCCTTTTCTCTGTAAATCTGACTTTCCAATTTAAAAAAAGGTCTTACAAAATCGCTGAATCATACAGGAGCCAAATATGCCTATGTTTAACTTTACAAGAAACTGCCAGGGACCAGCGCTGTGGTTCCACAGGCTAATCCTCCACCCTCAAGCGCAGCATCCCATATGGCCACCATGTTCTGGCTGCTCCACCTCAATCTACTCCGTGCTTACAGCCTGAGAAAGCAGTGGGGGATGGCCCAGTCCTTGGGACTTTGCATCCACAAGGAAGACCCAGAAAAGACTCCGTTTCGGGATGGGCTCAACTTTTGGGGAATGAACCAGCAGATGGAGGATCTTTCCCTCTCTTCCTTCTCTCTGTAAGTCCACCTTGGAAATAAATAAAAAACAAACAACAACAATAACAAAACCTGCCAAACTTTTCCAAAATGGTTATACCACTTTGCATTACCAAGACCAAGAGGAGAACTTTTGTTCCTCCACATTCTTTCCCGCACACTGCACGTACTGTGCAGTACCCTCTCACAGTGCCTCTAATTTGTATTTGCTGACTGATGATGGCTAATAATGATGAGCCTATTTACACAGGCCTATCTGCCGTGTGTGTACCATCAAGTGTTTCATTCCTTTTAAAAATTATTTTTTGTGAAGATTGGTGTCACAGCTTCTGGCATTCACGTTATTTCCTTGGTAGCTTCTGTTTGTGTGTGTGTGGTTGTTAATGTGTATTATTTAACTTCGAAGGCAGAGAAAGCCCTTTTCCTTTCTGGCTCACCCCCCGAATGTCTGCAGCTGCAGGGCTGCGGCAGGCCTCGAGTCAGAAGCCAGCAACTCAATGTTGAAGGAATTCAGCTTATCAAATCTTTTCTATTTTACAGTAGGTGGGGTTTCGTTCTGGTTAGGAAACAATTTCTTAAGCCAAAGTGAATAGGACATTCTGTTTCCTTCTGGAAACTTTTTTAGGTCTTGGTTTATGATTCCAGCTACTTTTTCTCCTTGTGCAGAGTCGAGATTCTTATGCTTGCATATAGGTATCTAATTGTTGCAGCAACACTCATTATAAAGAATATCCTTTCCCTCACTGAATTGTCTTATCCTCACGTGTGTCTGCTTCCCAGCTTCCTTATTCATCCTATCCTTTTGCTGTGCTGTTTTGATGACTGCAGCTTTACAGTAAATCTTAAAAAATAATAAAATAAAATAATTTATTTGAAAGGCAGAGCTGTCAAGAGAGGGGGACACGGAGACAAAGTTCTCCCGTCTGCTGGCTCAGATGTCAAGGCGACCACCATGGCTGGGCCAGACAGAAGCCAGGAGCTTCTTTAGGCTTCCCACGTGAGCCGAAGGGCCCAAGCACTTGGGCCATTTTCTGTTGCTTTCCAAGTAACACGTGCAGGGAGTTGGAAAGCAAATGCGGCAGCTAAGACCCATCTGGGGATGTCAGCACTGCACTCTGGTCTGACCATGCCTGCCACATCCGAGGGGGGCACGGGAAGGAGAGCAAGCAAAGCCACATCTACAGCAGTCCTGCCCTGCGTAAGCAACGTTTCACCTCAGGCTGGCTGGCAACTCCAAGCTGCCCACGCAGCCTAGGTGATTCTGGCTGCCACAGGACAGGGTAATTTAAGAAGAGGAAAACACATGACACAGATGGGCGGTCTAGTGAACAGGAGAAAGTGGGGCGACGTGTGGGGAACCCCTGCCGGCCTGCTGGTCCTGGGGCCCATGTGCCAAAGTGCCATGAATGCACCGTGTGACATCTCACCAACAACCCAGAACTCGGAGCACCTGAGGGCGTGCCTGTCTCATCAGGGAACTTCAGTAAATGTGCATACATCATGTTTAAAATAAAGAAACTGAATAAGTGGCTCTAGCACATATATTCTTACTATAAGCATGAAATACTGAAATAATAAACCAACTCACTTGTCTTTTAGCTTCTCTTAATTTTCTTTTGAGCGCTGTCAAAATTCTTTGTACTTCCCATAATCTCTCTTCTTTAGACAAATCCTTTATTCCGCCCTGCAGATCTCGATGTAAACAATTCAAAAGAAACTCCTGGAAAAACAATATCCCACAGTGAGTCAATAACCAGTGTCTGACTTTGAGATAACAGGTGACTTCCGAACATGTACATTCAACTCTTTCCAGTTATCATTAAAGGACGGAGACAATGACAGTAATGATCTTCCAAGGTTTTAAGTGAAAAATCATTCTTGTTTTGTCTGACAATCAGGTGTCTCATCCGTTAATGTGCGCTGACTCATGCCCCTACACTCCGCATCATCAACTAATAAGGACCGGATGAAAGCAGGCCAGCTGAGATTGATGACTGCACACAAACATGAGCACTTTTTAAATACAGTCTTGAGTTTCCCATTCAATTTGTCATTCACATGAATATACACAAAGTAGAATGGCATTTTTTCAGTTTTTTTTTTAAAGATTATTTATTTACTTATTTGTTTGAAAGGTCGACTGGTAAAAGAGAAGGGAAGAGAGAGTTCTTCCACACACTGGTTCACTCCGAAAAGCCCACAACAGCCCTGGCGGGATGGGGCCAGCCAAAGGAAGGAGCCAGGGACCCCAACCACGTGTCTCACATGGGTGGCAGGATCCAGTTGCCTGGCCATCGTGGGCTGCATCCCAGCTGTTAGTAGCAAGCTGCACTGTAGGTGGAGTGGGAGTGGGGCTGCATCCCGGGCCCTGCCGCACAGCACTCTCTTACACCAAAGCAGCAAGGAGCATCTCCCACTCAGTCATCACACGCCCAGAGTTCCTCTCCCTCCCCAGCATCTTTACAACAGCAACCTGAGCAGGACAGGGAACATTCCGGGGCTTTGTGCAACTGCGCCGAGCTTTTTGCAAGCAGTATCTCCCTCATCAGTGAGAGGATGATGCAGCCTGAGGAGGTGGCGCCAAGGCCATGGGGGCAGAGCGTGGATTTATAAAGCCAGGACTTCGGGGCTCAAAACCTATGCTTGCCACACCAAGATACTCTGACTTGAAAGATGGGAGACATGTCTGACAGCAAGGAAAGTAACCCTCCTTCCCAGGAGCCAGCACGAAAGCAGGCTGGAGCAAGGGTGCAAACCTGTCTCCTGATCTCCTCCTTGATGCCCGCCTGGGTCTCTGGCAGCGTGGGCATCGTGGCCATGTTGGACCACCGTAGAGGTTTCGTCACTGGCTTCAGGACCACGTTCCCAAAGAGCTCCTGCACGTGTGTGAACAGTACATACAGGACACGATTGCTGATCTAGGAAGGAACCAAAAAGATTTGCAACAATTAAGTTTCCTTTTGTGCCCGTCACTCAGTGCATCCTTTACCACTGTCCATATGAATGAAAACCATTCTCAAGGGGCAGGTGTGGCAGCGCAGCGGGTTCAGTTACCAGTGGTGATGCCCACACCCCATGTCACAGTGAGTGGGCTCAAGTCCTACCCGACGTCCTGCTAATACGCAGGGGAAGCTGCAGATAACGGCCCAAACACTTGCATTCCCACTCGCTCCATGGCAGACTCAAAAGCAGCTCCTGGCTCCCGGTTGGGCCCAGCTCAGCCCAGCTTGTTCTACCATTTGGGCAGTGAACCGGCAGGTCGAAAATCACTTGCTGGCTTGCTGTCTCTCCAGCACTGTCACTGTCACAGAAAAGCCTCCCAGGAGTGACAGGAAAGGTTTTGCTAATTAATGGCCAGTTCAACAAGAAAAAGCCAAAATTTGCATAAAGTCATGAACAAGGCATTGAAGGAATTTTTTTGAAAGTCAAGAAAATGATGCAGACATTCATGTCTTTTCATGCCCATTTGCTGTTGTCTGACTGCATTACCTGATTTTTTTTTCCAACGAGTCTTATACTTTTAGTTATCTGTTCAGTAGTTTTCTAAATTTTTATTTGCAGCAAGAGACAGAAAGACAGAGTGCTTTTTCCCTCGGGGTCACTCCCCAAAGGCCTCCAACGGGCCAGCCAGGGCTGAGATCAAAGCCTCGCAACTCAAGCGAGATCCCCAACGTGATGGCAAGGGACTTACTTGATGCGTCACTGCTGCATCTCGGCAGCACCCAGCATCTTGGCAGGACTGCTGCGATGGGGAACAGAGCTGGGACTTGAATCAAAGCACTCAGCAAGCAGCTTACCACTAGGCCGAACACCCACCTCTACTTTTAGTTCTTTTAGCAAACGTAAGCACATCTCCTGAGGTGGAGGAGGGAAGTGAGAACACTGGCAGGTGCACACCTACTGAGGCCAGACCCTCCCTGCAGACTTGAAGGCCTCCTGGCCAGGACTGCACAGCGGCAATCAAACATCATGTTGACAGGCTAGACCAGGCCAGGAAATTGTGGGAAACTAAAAAACCTACTACAACAATTTGACTCCTGCTTGATACTAAGTAACAACACAATATTTATCAGATCCACAATCCTGACGGATAAGACTGTCAAAGTGAATATGAAGGAACACGTTGCTTTCAAAATACACTGGTCAGTGAAAGAAAACAGTTACCGGGCACAAGAGGGCCCAATGTCAATTTGTTTGCTTGAGGTCAGACCACCATGGGTGAAGTCCAGTACCTTTCTCCCCTCATCCATGGCAACAGGTGTTGTTAGTAGAGTTCCCAATGTCAGCCAATCTCACGAGTTACATGGAACTTCAGTGTGGTTTTTATTTGCATTTCCCTGATAGCCAGAGAGCCTGCTCATTTCCTTCACCCATTTCTTCACAGGGCTGTTTTCCAATTTCTGAAGCTCTTTGTAAATTCAGGATATTAGTCCTCTATCACTTGCATAGTGTGCAAAGACCTTCTCCCATTGCGTCGGCTACTTCCTTGCTAAGCTGATCGTTTCCCTTGCTGTACAGAAGCTTCTTAATTTGATGTAGTCCCATCTATTTATTTTGGCTTTAACTGCCTGTGGTTTGGGTGACTGTTCTAAGTCTTTTCCAATGCTTCTTATGTTCTCCTCTAATATTTTGTTGGTTTCTGGGTGCAGATTGAGGTCCTTGATCCATTTAGAGCTGAGTTTTGCATAAGGCGACAGGTGCGTGTCTTGCTTCTTAACCTCTGCAGGCTGCTATCCAATGTCCAACAGCGTTTGTTGAAGAGACCAGACTTTTCCCCTGGGTTATTTTCAGCTCTCTTGTAGATTAGTTTGCTGTACGTGTGCGGGCTCCCTTCTGGGGCCCATGTTCTTTCCCACTGATGATTTTCTGTTTCTGAGCCAGTATCACGCTGTTTTGATGACCACTGCCCTGTAGTATGTCTTGAGGCATGGAGTTGTGATTACTCCAGCTTGATTTTATTCTTCAGGATAGCTTTGGCTGTTTGTGGTCTCTTGTGTTTCCAGATGAACTTCTGTATCATCTTTTCTATTTCTCAGAAGAACGTCAGGATTGATTGGGATTGCGTTGAATTTATAGATTGTGGTAATATGGACATTTTGATGATGCTGTTTTACCAATCCAAGAACATGGTAAACTTCTTCATATGTTAATGTGTTCTATGTCTTCTAAAAATTGTTTCGTAATTTTCATCATAGAGGTCTTTCATGTCTTTCGTTAGGTTTACTTCTCTATTATTTTCAAAGGGACTGTCTTTTCGATCTTTAAAAAATATGCTGAGGCTTCTTTGGTGTATAATGTGATCAATCCTAGAGAGAGTTCCATGTAGTGATGAAAAAAAAATTGTATTCTGTGTCTGTAGGATGAAAGGTTCTATAGAGGCCCATTAAGTCCATTTCTCTATTATCTGAACAAGCTCTGTTGTTTCCTTGCTGACTTTCTGTCCATTGATGTTGGAAAGCTGTTAAGGTCTCTACTACCATTGTACTGGAGTCAATATATCTCCCTTTAAATCTATTCATATGTGATTCATGTAGCTGGGCGCTCTGGCATCGGGTGCACATACATGCATTATTGTTATTTGCTTTTATTGGATGGCTCCTTCATCATTATGTAGTGTAGTTCATCTCTTTCAATACTTCTCAGGTTGAAGTCTATATTGTTTTTCCGTTAGCCTGGACTATCCTTTTCCATCCTTCCACTTTCAGTTTCCACATATCTTCTTGGTGAGATGTGTTTCTTGTAGGGAACGGATGAATGGTCCTGTTTTTTGATCCAGTTTGCTGATCTGTTTTTTGGTTCATGAGTTTAAGCCACATGCACTCATGGTTAATTTTGTCCTGTCTTTTTAGCACTGGCTTTCTTATTTTTTTAATTTAGGTTTCTTTTGTGGTTTTATTGAGATGTTCTTTTATCTTCTTTGGCTGTGTCAGATTTCATTCTTGTTTTGTTTTTGGTCTGTAGCACATTTGTAGGGCTGGTCTGGTAGAGGTGAAGTGTTCAGGTTTTCTTGGCTTTTGAGGTTTTCTATTTTATTTTCAAATATGAAAGCTAGCTTTGCTGAGTATGTTGCTCTGGGCTGCTAATTTTTTCTTTTAGGATCCGCAATATGTCACTCCATTCTCTTCTGGCCTGTATGGTTTCCTTTCACAAGTCAGCTGTGCGTCTTATTGGTGTTCCTATCTAAGTTATCTGACATTTCTCACATGCGTATTTAAGGATTTTTTTTCTTTATGTTCAACAAAGGAGAGCTTAACTATGAGGTCCTGTGGATAAGATCGCTTCTGGCCATTCTACCTGGAGTTCGCTGCGCTTCCTTCATTTGAATTCCCCTTTCTTTCTCATTTATTATTTCATCGAACACATGTTTCAATCCAACTTCTCTTTCCACAGCTTCAGGAACTCCCACAACCCTTACGTTTGGCACTTTGATGGTGTCATTCAAATGGTTCTTAGCTTTACTCAGTTCCTCTCTCACATTTCTCACTGTTTGGTGATTTTTGCACTTTAGTATCTTCCAGCTCTGAAATTATTTCTTCTGCCTCACTCATTCTATTATTGAAACATTCCATTGTATTTTTGTTCTGTTGTACGCATTTCTTATAATTCAGCTTGATTTTGTTTCAATGCTGCTATTTCCTGTGTAACAAAGTCCTTAAACTCGCTGAATGCCTACATCAGCTCCTTGGGATTTTTAAAGACCTTTATAATGCTTCTGAAAAATTTCTTCATTCTTGATGTCTTAATCAGTCAACGCTGAGCCTGCGACAGTCTTCTGCTTCTTCTTGGGGGAAGCATCAGTGACCTCATTCATTGTGTCTGTGCCACTTCTTTTGCCACTGGCCACTGCAGTTGTGATTAGCGGATTCTACTCCTCAGATCACTTTTCTCTTTGAGTGGTGACATCCACAGGTCTGCAGATCAACTTTACTGATCTGTTCCATGCCTGGTTCTCCATGTCCGGCACCTGCACCATTCCAGCGAGTATCAACCTCAACCTGGGCAGCCCATGCCACCACCCAGATGACTTCTATCCACCACTCATGATCCAGTATCACGGCCACACTGTTGTCTGCTCAGCCTTTCTCCTGTCCTCCTGCAGTTTCACCCAGGGCTGGGGAGACACTGTGCAGAAGACAGGGCTGTCAGCGGAGCCCTGTTCCCTGCTGGCACTCTGCTCTAGACTTGCTCTGGGTAGCACATGGATTGCGTTTCTTTCCTCTTCTTGCTGGACCTGCTAGTAGCTAGGTTAGGGGGCAACCAGGACTTATTTTGGATGGAAGCCGTATGATGCTAGGTCAGTATTAGTTTGCTAGTGAGAACAGCGAAATGTATTCGTGGAATGAGCTTGTGTAGAAGACTCTTGGAGAGCTGGAGCTGGGTCCTCCTGGGCTTAGCACTTGTGCAGCTCACTGTTATGAACCCATACCAGAAATGGCACCGGGTGTGCCTCCTGAGGCAACAACGGGGGGGGGCTGGGTTGCTCATAGCACTCTTCCTCTGTGTCCGTCTGTAAGGGGACTGCAGCTTTGTTTCAGCTTGTGACTGGATTACAAAAATTGGCAGGAACAGCAGATCTATGGCTCGATTTACCTCCCATGCCCCCAGGGTGTCCCCCTGTGTCATCTGTCTGTTGATGGAGCTCCAACTGCTATTGGGGTATCTGTCTGTTAGCACCTCTCCATTGTCACTGTGCCCTCCCTGAGTCCCCAGGACCCCAGGTGTCACCAGCCTTCCTATTCTTGTTCCTTAGGATTGTACCTTCTTCGCTTCTCTGCTAAGCATTTTCCGTCTGTTTGAACATGTCCCCACCCTATTCTGCCATCATGCAACTGTGTAAAGGACAGCGCCCCGAAGGGCACTACTGATTCCCCCGTAGGGCTTGCCTACCATCTGTCTCTCTAGGATCCACCCCTAAAAATTAAACCCTCAGCTTAAATCCCTAATCAAAGAAATCAGTGACAGGTCTCTCTGTTGAGGAGATGACCAAAATCCTCTAAGGTCTTATAAATGAACTTGAACCACAGGCACCATGGGCTCCTCTCACAGTGACCAGTCACCAGAAACTGGCTGAGAACCCCTAAGGAAGAACAAACACCATGGTACTCACATCACGGAGGCACAGCTAACGGGCAGAGAGGCTCGTTAGCTTACCTGGTCACATCAGCCAGGTCAGGGGAGAAAAAGACCTGTATTTAAGCCAACCCATCATCTACCTTTTTGAGCTGACAGCATCCCATGGGGACTTAGCAACCGAGAGTACCTCTTGCATGCCAGCAGGGCCAGCAGCGTGGGAAAGGGCTGGGGCTGTGGGGAGAAGACCTCGTACCTGGACAGTCGGGCTGAGCACTATGGAGATGTTCTGGATGTTCATCTTGGTCTCCAGCTCCTTGGCAATGACATGGTCCATGTGCACGATGAGCCAGGAAATCAGAAGGTGGTTACATTCCGGCAGCTCTTGCAGCAGGCGCTGGAACTCCTGCACTTTCTCGTTCTCTGTGGCCCTCCCACAAGCCTCTTCAAATCGGGGCATTAACTCTTTGGTAAGCAGGTTCTCTGGAAGCTCTCGCAAATACTGCTTCAGCAGACTGGCTACTGTGTTGGGCTCATACTCTTCCAGGTTTGGAGACTCCTCCCGGTCATAGGCTGCTTTGAGCTCATCTACCTTTGATTTGATTCCTTGGAACATGCAAGTGATTCACAGGAGAGAGAAGGCCAAGAAAAACAAATCACATACACAGCTTCTCTCCCACTACGTCCACCCCAGCCGGAAGGACACGAGCAGCTGCCTGGCCGTAACAAACCCCTTGCTGCAAATTCCCATCTGCACGAGGCTAGACAATTCCTCTGCAAACACAACACTGCAGAGGACTACACTTCCAGAGTGAATTTAACCAAAAGCTACACGACATTTTAAAACCCCCCACAATATCAGCAGTAATTATGGATATCTTTTAAGCAAAGGATTCTGGAAGGAGAAAAAAGTCTTGCTCTATTGGAAAGACAACTGCTTCTTTTGAGTGGACACACAGCGAACAGCATACGAATGTTCTAAGAATGTTCTCAAAACTCGTGAGTACATTTTAGAAGTAAAATTTGTAAAAATGCAAGAGCTGCCTGAGTTAGCTGTCTACACAAATTCTAAGAGTTAGCCGATAATTTCCACCTAATTTCTACTTTACATTTAGAATTCTTTAAGTGCTTTCTTAACCCGAACAGAGATGCAAGAAAAAAGTTTAACGTTTGTATTTCAAAAAAATTAAACAAGGTTCTGGTTTCTAAAGTCAAACTGTTTTTTGCTTTTCTTACCGGACAGAAAGAACCTCATACAGAAAATGAATGTTTTTCAAGCATTATGTAAGACTACAGTCTTTAGTTGCAGTTGCAGTAACTGAATAATTTAGTGGCAGTAACGGCTCGGATGAGCACGAAGCAGCTTCTTATTTTTGATCCTTTAGAGTGATCATCTGGAACTAGCCCCAAAGTAATGCTGCCATTTCTAATACAGAACATCACTTAATCTGAACACCATTTTTATAGTTATACTTGCATTTTTGCATTTATCCTACATGAAAATCTTTTAATGATATTACATTAATATGTAACTTGTGCAAAATGACAAACATAAAAGCAGCAGCAATACTATGTTATGTTATAATGTTATAATGTTGCATAAACTTTGAGGCAAAGTTAGAAGAGTCCCATTTTCTCACATTGAGGGCAATATGGGTAAAACGTGCTGAGCAGAAGCGGTCTCCCACAGGATCACGGAGAAGCTCACCATCGTGCGTTCCGTTCCCCACACCTTGCCGAGTCCTCTCCCCCATGCAGGGAGCTGATGGACACTTACCCTGACCCCAACTCCACCTACCCCAGCAAACAGCACAAGTGGACAGTAAGAGTATGAAATTTGGCTTCTTGTTACTCTGAAATTATCAAAATGTGTTTTGTTTTGCAAACTGCATGCTTCAAATAAAGCATTACTGGGAGAGAAAGTTTAAAGACTCACTTGAATATTAAAGATATAATAAGGTCCACAAGGAAAATGATATACAATGTCTCGTATTAGTTTTAAATGCATTGGGCAAGCTTTGGAGGTGGCAATCCCTCCTAGATGACCTGGGTTTGAATCCCCCAGGAGGCAGTGGTGGTGATTCAATAGCTTGGTCCCTGTTCCCAGCATGGGAAAGCCCCGGCTGAGTGACGGGCCTGCCCATGTGCTACCCAACCCTGGCTGTGTGCCACCACACTGAGGACCTCTCTCCCTCTCTTGCTGTCTCTCTGCCTTTCAAATAAAATGAAAATAAAATTGAAGGTGATTTATAAACAGATGAGACCAAAATGCTCTAGCAAATAAGCACTGTTATTGTTAGCATTCCAAAAGAAAGTTCCGAGCCTTAGCTGTGGAACTGCGTGTGCTGCAAGTTAGAGAAGAAATAGGAAGCCCAGGGCGGCAGAGCTCGGGCCTCGGGCCCCCGGGAGGCTGACGGGAACAGTTCAGCTTCAGTGTTTTTAGACCACAGAGCAGGAATTTGTGGCTCTGAATCTTTCTAAGAGTACACATATCAAAAACAGGTCAAAAAATAGAATGTCCGTCTGTTGAGAATCATAAAAAGGAAAGCAGTGGAGGTGACTGCTCAGTCTTTAGAAATCAATACATCATAAATTATTATTAAACATCAAAATTTTAAATTCATTTAAATAAGTTAATTTCATGCAATATCAGAGAGTTTCAAATTCAGGGACAGGCATTCGGCCTAACAGTTAAGATGTCACTGAGGACTCTGGTAGGCCGTGCTGGAGTCCCTGGGTTCAGTTCCCAGCTCTGCTCCTGGCTCCAGCTTCCTGACAGCTCAAACTCCTGCAGGCAGTGGTGGCTGCTCAAACAGGCCCCACCAAGCACGGGCAGAGCTGGATCGAATCTTTGGATTCTGGTTCTGACCATGCCTTGCCCTGACTATCGCAGGTAGTGAGTCAGCAGATACGAGCTCTTCGTCTCTCAAACAACTTTTGACAACTTGCTAAAAATACAATTCAAGGGCCCAGCAGTGTGGCCTAGCGGCTAAAGTCCTCGCCTTGAATGCACCGGGATCCCATATGAGCACCGATTCTAATCCCAGCAGCTCCACTTCCCATCCAGCTCCCTGCTTGTGGCCTGGGAAAGCAGTCGAGGTGGGGCCAAAGCCTTGGGACCCTGTACCCATGTGGGAGACCCAGAAGAGGCTCCTGGATCCTGGCTTCGGATCGGCATAGCATCGCCTGTTGTGCTCACTTGGGGAGTGAATCATCGGATGGAAGATCTTCCTCTGTCTCTCCTCTCTGTATATCTGACTTTCCAATAAATAAATAAATATTAAGAAAAAAAATACAATTCAATGTCTACTTTATTCTATACAAAATATCTTTTAATCAAAATAGCCTATCAAGTTATCGACTGGATTGTGTAAAGGTTTGCCTAGTTAGCAAAAATGCCTGTCTTTTCTAACAAAACTCAAGCCACACAAATCTACCTTTTATGTACACTCGAAAGGTGTGCTGACTTCACAACTCATGAAAATCTATGTGACCAACAACTGACTTTATACATGCCCAAACAGAAGCTGATACTCAAGAGACCAAATGATGGGACTACGAAGACCAGGGACATAAATGCTGCTATGGGTGAGAATTTGCCTCTAATACCAGGGCAGAAGCTGTCCTGCTTTCTAAGGAATAAGCTTTTCAAACACACGTGGAGGCCAGTGTTGTGGTGTAAGTTATGCCACCAGTTATGACACTGGCATCCCGAGTGGGCAGTGATTACAATCCCAGCTGCTTGGGCCCGGCAGTGTGGCCTAGCAGCTAAAGTCCTCACCTCGAACACGCCGGGAACCCATATGGGCACCGGTTCTAATCCCAGCAGCTCCACTTCCCATCCAGTTCCCTGCTTGTGGCCTGGGAAAGCAGTCGAGTCCCAGCTGCTCCACGTGCAGTTCAACTCCTTGCTAATGCGCCTGGCACGCACTGGGAGATGGGCCCAGTGCGTGATCCCTGCAGCCACACGGGAGCCACAAGCGAGCTGCTGGCTGAGGCCCCGCTGCTTTAGATGAAACAGTTAGCTTTCTAACTCTACCTATCAAATAAAAATACTTTTCAAAAAGTGTACATCATGCTGAATTACAGACACCCAACAGGAAACACATTCTCGCCAAGCATGAAATTTAAGCTTCCATGCACGGGACATGATCACTAGCACGTGGCTACCACATGCTCCTGTCCTGGGGCCTGCACATTCAAAAAATAACCTCTCGTGCCTCTCAAGGGGGTTCAGGGCAGGATCTTACTGCTATTCATTGCTACCAAACTTCCCTCCTTCCTTGCGGTCGGCCCTCTGGGCACCAACAAGCCTCTGCTGGACCAGGCAGAGGTGAGAAAAACGCACAGCCCCCACTCTCCCTGCCATCCATAGACAACTTGGGTCGGTCCTCCTGCTGGGCGGAAGTACTGCAGGAAGCCAGACGGCCAGAACAGCACAAAAACGGACAGACGGCAGTCGTTCCGGGCTGCTGCAAGGATCCAGAAAGTAAGAGGTGACCCAAGCTACAATTCTGCCCCGATAGGGCATTTTCCCTGCCTCTAGAAAGGGAAGGAAGCTACGGTGTCAGCGCTGCCGCGTGGTGCGCACAGCCAGTACCTGAAACTCTGTAGATGCCCTCGCACTTCATGCCGTACTTCTCCACGTGATCCACGCACTCCCGGAACACGGCCGGCAGCCGCACACCGTCATACATCATGGTCCGCTCCACGGCGTCCGCCAAGGGGATCCCAAAAACGGGCTTGAGGCTGGGAACGTCCACCTGAGGCACCTCTGGCTCCTGAGTCGGCTTCTTCTTTTTCTTCTTCTCCTTCCACTGTTTAACAACATCAGCAGCTGTCAAGTCTTTGGACTTTTTCTCCTTATGTTTCTCTTCTTTGTGCTTTTCTTCTTTGGGTTTCTCTTTGATTTTAAAATCCTTCTCCTTCTTTTTAGAAAAGCTGGGCTTCTTGAAAACATGGATCCCCTTGGACCTCTTCATTTTAGAAGGGCTTTCAGCCTCATCCCCGGAGCTGTCTTCCTGAAAGGCGGCATAGCCTTCCGCTGGCAAAGAAACAGGGAGAGTATAAATCACATGTTTGTTTTATGTCAGGGTGTTCCTCTGCTTTCAAAAATCAGAACCATCATTGATGCCACCAGGCTCTAGCTACACAGCCTTGCACTTTCTGGCGGCCCTCCCCGCAACACAACAGGGTTTCTTCTCAACTGGAAAAAGTGGCTGCAGTGACAACGCCTGACCACAAGAGGGCAACAGACCAACGGCAGCTATCCTTGCTGGTGACCATGTGAAATTAGCAATAAACAGAAAAACAGAAATACAAGTGAAACGCTTTGCCCAGAGGACTGATGGAAATGCTACACTTACAAAACAGAGCATTCCTTCCTCATGTGGGACTCCTCCACTCACACACTAACTGCTGTCCTTGGCCAGGCTGTCACCTGAGGCAGGCCCAAAGCATGACGAAGGACACTACTGTCCAGGTGCTCCAGTGAGTCCTTGACCGCACTTTACTCTCCTGGCAAGTTCTTCCGGGGGACTGAAGCAGGGACTGCAGCCACCACTGAGTCAAGGGCTGGCCCAGGATTGTCGGTCATTTCTGACCCAACCCCAAGTCAGAAGCTTTGGTCCTCACACCAAAGGCCCAACTGTTTTCACACTGCAGCAGCCTTATCAAGAGTGGGTTTTTTGGTTTTTTTTTAATACCTAACTTTTTCTTCTTAGCTATCTTCTAGGTTAGTTGATAGTAAAGACTAGCGGTATTTCATAAGTCATCTTAACCAAATGCCATGAACTCCACCCACACCAACCACAATGGCAAGAACCCGGAGGCAGCATGTCCTCCTGGAACTGGAATTCCCAGCCAGTACTCACGGCGTGAGAGGCAGCAGTGCCACTGCCAGGCGCACACGGGGGACACAAATGGCAGCAGCTACACAAACTCTACTCATCGTGATCAAGACCGAAAACGAACCAAACTAACCAACAGCACAGAGTGGACAGCCTGCTGCGCTAATGTGCTGAGACACCATCCAGCAGGACATGCATACATGTCTATGTGTGTATGTGTATCTGCTGCCACGTGGAACAGCCTGAACGCATCTAACAACTACAGTTATGTAAGATCAAAATCAGGCATTGTAAGCATCTATGATGACTGGAGTTCTGGGAGAGGCCGGGGGTTTCCTTTCCAGAAAACAGGGAAAGGGAATCCCCAGGGTGCTGGGAACTTTCCAGGTCTCTGAAGTGCTAACACAGGTGTGTTCACTCAGCAGGCCGTGTAGAGCAGGTGCACCGATGTGTCACGCTTCAAAAATCAACTAAACGACCGTGAAATCCAGAGCAAGGGATGACATCCCTCGCTGAGGCTGCATCCCCGTGTCTGCTCCTGCGGCACTGAGTGCCTCCTCCCGCCTGCCGAGCACAGCGCATGCACTGCAGGCCAGGCACGACAGCCTTTTGCTGTCCCCACAGAGCCCACCCACGCAAGTGAGACGTTATCAGGGCAAAACTCCAGCTCCTACTTTTCATACGTGATTTCTGATGAGCACTTTAAAGAAACATCCAGTGGAAAACTTTCCCCATTTCTGGAAATTCATCCCTTTATTGATGAGATCCAGACCCTAAAACACAACTCCAGTATACAGACACCGGAACCCTGACATCCAATGGGAGTCTCTGCTTGGACACGGCCATTTCCAGCAGGCAGCCAGTGCACACGCTCAGCGAGGAAGTTCATGCACAGAGGGAACCAGCACTTACTCCTTTTTTCCTTCTTCTTAAACTTTCCTTTTTTCTTGCCATGGTCTTTCTCATCATCAGACACGACGTCGGGAGGCTCGTGGAGGATGTCATGGGGCGGGGAGGGCTCGCTCGTGCGGTACAGTCCTGGGAACTTGGTGGGGCTGATCTCCTCCGAGCTGGGGGTGCGGGTCAGTCCGCTGCCATGCTCTGCCCTGCGGTGTTCACCGGGGCTGCTGGTGGGAGGCAGGAAGCACTCGGTCATGCTGATGGAAGGGGAGGGGTCTTCTCTGTCACCTGTCCATTACACCTGCACAGAAAACACAGCAGTCAGCACTCCGGCCAAGGACACACGCTCAGCAGGCGGGATGCAGCCCACACCCTTCCACCGCATCGTCCCAGGACACTTCCTGTGTCACCTGTTTCGATTCCCAATTAAACAAAAATTAAACTTACAAAAATAGGTTTACATAGCTTCATGAATAGTTCATTACATTAGCTAACATGGCGTATTTGACAATTCACACAGAAATCATTAATGCTAGTTCTATATTGCATTCAGTGCATTCACAGTTTGTCAAAGACTGTTGTATTTTGTACTGCAGTTACACTGAAAGAAAGGAGCCTTCATTCAATCAAGCCCAATTACACAGATAATAGTTTGGCTACAGCAGATGCTGCAAGGGACAAGCTTAGAGTTCAAAATCAATCTGCTTCTTTTCCTGTTGAGACAGTGGGGCACACAGTGCAGAGGTGTGACACCTAACCATGGGCGTCCATCAAAGGAACACATCAGGGCATTCCGGTGTGTGAACATCAGAGAGTGCTCAAACTAAACTTCGGCAAAACCAGAAAACGTCAGGGTCACCATTGCACATGTGGCCCACCATGGACCAAAATCCAATTATTTGGTGCCATGTCTTGTTTAAAAATTATTCAGTTTTTAAAAAATATTTATTTTTATCTGAAAGGCAGATTTCACAGACAGAAGGAAAGAGAGAGCGAGAGAGAGAGAGAGAGAAAAGATCTTCTATCCACTGGTTCATTCCCCATGCGGCTGCAACAGCCAGAGCTGAGCCAACCCGAAGCCCGAAGCCAGGAATTCCCCGGGTCTCCAACTGGGTGTCACGATCCGAGGATCTGGCCTTTCTCCTCCACCTTCCAGACCACAAGCAGAGAGCTGGACGGGAAGGAGAGCAGCCAGGGCACAAACCAGTGCCCACACAGCAGCTTGGGGAGAGAACCAACGGATGGAAGATCTTTCTCTCTGTACCTGTTTCTTCCTGTGTATCTGCCTTTCCAATAAAAAAGCAAGCAAGCAAAACTGTGCTCGGGAAAGTATTCAGCAGAGCGCTGTAGAAGAAAATAAAGGAATCTAAGTGGCTCTCAGTGGAAAATAAATTTTAACCTAAAAACCGATCAGCTTTAGCTAAACAATGGAGAAAGCTAAACCCACAATTCCTTTTTTGAATTTTTTTTTTTAAAGATTTATTTTTATTATTTTTTCATTGGAAAGGCGGATATACAGAGAGGACAGACAGAGAGGAAGATCTTCCGTCCGATGATTCACTCCCCAAGTGAGCGCAACGGGCCGATGCTATGCCGATCTGAAGCCAGGAGCCTCTTCCGGGTCTCCCACGTGGGTGCAGGGTCCCAAAGCTTTGGGCCGTCCTCGACTGCTTTCCCAGGCCACAGGCAGGGAGCTGGAAGGGAAGCGGGGCTGCCGGGATAGAACCGGTGCCCATATGGGATCCCGGGCGTGCAAGGTGAGGACCTTTAACCACTTGCGCCACTGCGCCGGGCCCCCTTTTTTTGAAATTTTTTAAAGTTTATGTATTTATTTTCACCTGAAAGGGAGATGGGGAGGGGGTCATGAATGAATGAATAAGAGATCCTCCACCTACAGTCTGGCCTCACTTAATACCACAACCACCGAAGGCTATCTGCCAGCTCCCGTACTAGACTCTCGCAGGTCACCTAGTGACAGGTACCCAAACACTGCAGCCATCACTCACTGCCTCCCAGGGTGCACCAGAGGAAGTTGGATCAAAAAACAGAAGAAGGCCCGGTGCCATGGCCTAGCGGCTAAAGTCCTCGCCTTGAATGCACCAGGATCCCATATGGGTGCTGGTTCTAATCCCAGCAACTCCACTTCCCATCCAGCTCCCTGCTTGTGGCCTGGGAAAGCAGTCAAGGACGGCCCAAAGCCTTGGGACCTGCACCCATGTGGGAGACCTGGAAGAAGTTCCTGGCTCCTGGCTTCGGATCGGCATAGCATCGGCTGTTGCGCTCACTTGGGGAGTGAATCATCGGATGGAAGATCTTCCTCTCTGTCTCTCCTCCTCTCTGTATATCTGACTTTCCAATAAATAAATAAATCTTAAAAAAAAAAAAAACAAAACAGAAGAGCACGGATTCAAACTACCCTGATGGAGGGGCCTGGTACAGTAGCCCAGTGGCTGGAGTTCTCACCTTGCATGCACTAGGATCCCATATGGGTACCAGTTCATGTCCTGGCAACTCCACTTCCCATCCAGCTCCCTGCTTGTGGTTCGGGAAAGCAGTCAAGGACGGCCCAATGCTTTGGGACCCTGCACCCATGTGGGAGACCCAGAAGAAGATTCTGACTCCTGGCTTTGGATCAGCTCAGCTCTGGCCATTGCGACCACTTGGGAAGTGAACTAGTGGGTGGAAGATCTTCCTGTCTCTAAAAATCTTAAAAACAAATACAAACAAACAAACAAACAGAAACTACTCTGATGGGGGCAGAAACTAAGATGGAGGCATCCCAAGCAATGGCTTCACCTACTGTGCCAACCCCATAACACCTACTCCCACAGACAATTTTTTGTTTGCTTTCTTTTTCTCTCTTAAACTGATCTACCAATTTTAAAGTTGATCTGACAGAGAGGGAGGAGGGGAGGAAGAGAGATCCTTCATCTGCTCGTTCGCTATCCAAATGACCACAATGGCTGGGGCTGGGCCAGGCTGAAGCCAACCAAGACCAGAACTGACGTTATGATGTGGAATGTGGTACTTGGCTCGGACAGGTTCAAAAAGATGGAGGAGCGTTCACCGAGGTAAAGCAGAGAGGGTGCAGCCCCAGGAGCTAGGAGAGGACAGGCTGCTGGGCGAGGGACACCTGTGGCCTGTGGACTCAGGGAAGCAGTGGAGATGGCAGAGCAGTCTGCAGTGCTCAGATACCCCTAGGGTGATCGGAGCTCTGCCAGCAGCCAGGTGGGAAGGGCAGTTCACTGGGAACACAGGAGGTGAGCACAGCCACCTGCCCGCCCTGCTGGTTTGTTTGATTCAACCAGGAGAGGACACGGAGCAGTAGATCCCAAACAAGTGGTGCAGGAACAGGGTGGATTTCCCAGCAGACCCCACAGTGCCACATCGGATGCCAGTTAGTGCATGAGGAAAAGGCTGTGGGACTAAAGGAACAGTGAGCTGCGCGTGCACTAAGCCATGAGAGAATTTGCTTCCGGCTCAGCACATTGCACTGGTCCCACAGGGAAAATAGTACCCACTTGGTGTCCTACAGGTTTCATCCAGAACAGGTCTGGGTGGGCCCAAGACCTAACAGCCGCAGCTTCCAGCAAGACCACTGACAATGCTGTTGTTTAGGATAGTTGGTGTCTCCCTAACCCCAATACTGCTTGGCCTGGGAGTGGGAGAAGGCTCAGCAGGCAAAGGTTCAGCCTCAGCACGGGATCACGGGGTTGGGAAGTGGTGAGCTGGGAGCTTGGGCTGTGGAGACTGCGGTGGAAGCCTAGCACAGGAGCCTGGGACGGAAACTCACTGGACGGAGTGGCATGAGCAACTGCAGTGAAGAACTGGATACTGAATAGGATCGGTCAAGTCCAACTGTAGACCTGTGGGCAACACAGCTTGGAAGCCGGCCCTACGGGCAAGAGTCCACCAATCAGAGTTGCAATAGTGAACAACAAGACACAGAGGCACAATGAATATTACTGATGCCGCCCCGGAAAATGAGCAAAAGCCTTTGTCAACCGCAGAGTTAGCTAAAGAACACACTGAAAAACTGGGGAATAAAGAATTTTAAAAACTTGAAATTTGCTATAAAGCTTCTTCTTTTTTAAGAAAAGATTTATTTCTTTTTTTTTTTTTTTGGAAAGGCAGATATACAGAGAGAAGGAGATAACAGAGAGAAAGATCTTCAGGGGCCCGGCACAGTGGCCTAGCTGCTAAAAGTCCTCATCTTGCACGTGCCAGGATCCCATATGGGCAACGGTTCTAATCCCGGCAGCTCCATTTCCCATCCAGCTCCCGGCTTGTGGCCTGGGAAAGCAGTCAAGGATGGCCCAAAGCCTTGGGACCCTGCACCCCCGTGGGAAACCTGGAAGAGTCTCCTAGCTCCTGGCTTCGGATTGGCTCAGCTCCAGCTGTTGCGGCTGCTTGGGGAGTAAATCATCAGACGGAAGATCTTCCTCCCTGTCTCTCCTCCTCTCTCTAAATATATCTGACTTTGTAATAAAAATAAATAAATCTTTAACATATATGTGTATGAAATGTGTAAAACAAAGAATATTAATAACACTGTCTAAACTCTGTAAGTGCCCTAATTTTTTTTAGTCTTGCACTTTGTATGGTTTGTACTCAATATGCATTACTGCTTGTAAACAATGAGAAGCACTGACAACACTCGGAGCCTCCATCAGGGCCGGGTGGGGGACGCCCACCTGAGGGCTCCATAAGGCACATGAGACCATTTCACTGGCCCTGCCAAGGCAACCTGCTGGCAGGGCTCAAAATTCAGCAACCTAAATGTATGGCAGGCTAACGCGGCACTAAAACATCCGAACAGCTATCTGCAGAGAGCCCGCCCCACTCAGGCACTCAAGGATCAATAAGCATCACTAGAATCCTGCAGGCAGAAACCCGAGCTCCGATGGGAGAAAGCCACTGAGGAGGCCAGCCTGGCCTAGTCAGCAGGAAGCTGGCCTCACACTCTTGGGCACCACTGCATTTAACACACCTTTGTCCTGCCATTCCCTGCAGCCTAGCCTCCCTCCCAGCACCTTCCCAACCGATGCATGGCCACCCTCCAACAGGAACCTGACACATGGGAGGAATGGAAACATTCTGAATTTGGGTTGAGGAAATGCAAAAACCTGTACATTCAGTAAAACAACAACAACAACAAAAGATTAAATTATGCACCTAGGAAAGTGGGTGAATCTTATGAAACTGTTTAAAAGAGAACAAAATGTCAAGCAGCACCAGCTACGGTTAGTCCAGAGCGGCCGAGAACAGTCCAGAGTGGCCTAGAGAGCAGTGCAGAGCGGC